CTCAAGGTTGAAAAAGCCACAAATTCAGAAAACAGTGAGGGCAAACTTTTTAAGAGTGAGAATTGTGAACTCTTGGAACAATCTGCGACAAAGAGTTGTGACGGCACCAAGAGTGAGCTCTTTCAAGGCCAGATTTGACCAACACTGGAGCAGGTTCAGATATAATCAGGAGCCGGTGCATGCCCAGTACTTGCCAACAGTGCGTAAAAAAGGTATGACCGACCGCCCAAGCGGCTAACGAGCCAAACAGGAGCGAAGAGGATAAAAGTACAAGCAAAAGTAAAGCGATTTTTAATCTTTTTACGGGTAGGGAAGGTTGGTGGAGGTTTTCAAAGGTTTGTTTGGTGTTCCTTTCAGTAGTGTATCCCACATATGTTACCCCACATTGTAACATTTCAATTTATAACATTGAAGTTTAGAGGGCTATATTTTTTTTTATTCATTTCTCCCAAAAAAAAATCACATTTTAGGAATCAGGATAAAAATCTACATTAGAAAACTCTCATTTCAATTATTTTCTTTAAGTGCGGTACATGAAACCGAAAAGATCCGACTTTGCTACGAGTTAACCTTATTCATCTGTCACATGTGATAGCTATGTTTATTAATCTCATACAGACGAAAACAAAATAACTTTCAGACGCCGTTGCAATATTCACAATCTTACCTATTAGGTACTAATTGGGACTTCCCAGCAATCATAAGGGCACCGTGAATTCTCTCTTAATCCTATTGGTATACAGACTTAAGACTATACGCACGGACTTTGGCATACGAGTGATTCGTAAAAAAAGAAAAAAAACATACAATATAGGAGTTAGCCCTTTAAAACTGTTAGAATTTTCTGTGAGACACCATCATAGAAAACTTAAATACTTTCTTGATATACTATTTTTATTGTTGCTCAGCTGTAATATACTAATACATCATAAGAGATTATATAGACCTCAGTGTAATTCACTAATACTGAGGACTCTATAATCTCATATGATGTATAAGCGTGCGCAGTAAAAGTGACGATTGATTTTTTTTGTCATTTTGCCCACCTACTGAGGCTAGTTTATTGTGCACCCCATACTAATTCTGTGAATGGATTACAGAGTAGAGTTCACAAAGGGTCTGTATAATGTGTGTGTGTGTGTGTGTGTGTGTGTGTGTGTGTGTAACATAACAATGTTTCAGCAGTCATCAATAGATGGATAGTAACAACATAATGCAGTGACCCGCCCTGAACATCAGGATCTCAGGGCCATGCACATGTAAACTATATATCTTTTGTCGTGTTGTTTTATCATTATTACCATTATTATTATTATTATTTGTATTTATTATTATTATGCCATGTCAGGATCATTATAAAACTAATTCAAAGACCATATCGGTCTAAACTTTATAACAGAGATAAAACTAATGAAATATATTTTTAGATGAGTAATGTGTGGATAGCGTGGACAGATAAAACAAAAATTATCGAAGGAGGCGACAGATAAACCACAGTTTATCTCGAATTGCTTAAGGATGGCAGATGGTCATCATGCAGTTTCTTGAAATATAGACCCCGATGCCTGTATTTCATAAATTAAAAAAATATATATGGTCAGCAATTTTAGTTCCACACCAAAAATGGCTTTTGTCTAATTCTAAGTGTTTTTATTAACGCCACACCGGACACATAAGCACCAGCCGCGGAAATGACATCATATCCACCTGGTAAATGTTTGATAACATTATTGTAGTTTGTATGAACTTACGAACGATGAAATTAAAAACATAACTCACACACTTAATAATGTGATAATTATATTTCTGCCTCATATGAGTAAATAAAGAATGACTTGACAAGATGTATACAAGGGGGTTTCCCGATTGCCTGGAAACCCCCTTGACGCCCACGCTGTTTATCTTAAGTGTTTTGTTGTATCGTTACAGGTGTCCGAAACCTGATAAACAACTCGGAAAAAATCGCCACTTTTCAAGAATCATATCTGAAGCGAACCAAGTGCCTGGAGGCAGCACGAGATGAAGCACAGAACAACCTGACTCATCAAGCAAGTAACTCAAAGATCTATCACGCACTCGAAGGGATCCAGAGCCGAATTGCTTTGACAACTTTCTTGAAGCTGTACCCTGCTGTCGTGCGCTGTATGAAGAACATCATAGAGAATCATATGAGTTGGTCAGCCGAGTCCTTTCCATCACCAACACGGAGTTCATCATGGCATTAGTGATGACCAACCGCGCCTTGAACTATCTGAGGAGCCGGACATCCAGCTTACAAACACAACTCCGTCAGCAGGTCGATATCTACTCACACGATTTGTGCGTACTACATGGCGACATGTGGTGTAATGGTCGGCATCCTCGCCTCGCAGACGAGGGGACTCGATTTCGATTCTCGGGCAGGGTGAAACTATGGGCAAGTTTCTTTACGTCATTTGCCCCTGTTAATCGATTTGAGGATCGTATTCCGGGGTAATGGTTAGCCAGTGCAGTTGGCGAGTTGTCCGGTCTTCTGATCCAGTATTTTATTAGTCAGTACATGCTGCCTTTTAGATGTAACCTGGTCTATATATATAAAATTTCTTGTGTAGATTGTTAATCATTATGTAAATATTGTTAAGGACTGGTGGTCCTAGACTGTGTCAAACCATAGTTCACCACTCCGGTAACAGTAAGAAATAACAAGGTCGCCAATGAAATTAATAAACGAAAGGAATAAGCAATACACTAGAATAAATTAAAATACAAATTAATTTAACAAAATAAATGAAGTATCTGACAAGTACCAACAAACGAATCAAAAGTCAAGTTTACAAGTATTAACCGATTTGGGAATATTCACAGCACAGCAGACAAACAAGTTAGGTTTATCATAATTACAGTGACAAGTGAGCAAACAATAACGAGGGTTAGAGTACACCAACCAATACAATACAAAGACGATTAGATAACTCCACCGTTCTTTTACCAGTATAATGTTACGAAATTTCAAGCCTAGTACACCATAGTATATCCTACACACAATAGTATATCCTACAAACAATATTACATCCTATACAAAGAAAATATTCTATCCTAATTACCCTCCAATTTCCTTGACTCACACACTCAACAATATAATGTATACTCAAGTTAAGGTCTTTGCTATGTGTTGAACTCCTTCCACCGTTTCCACCTTCCTCAGCCACGCCAAACCTGCTCCTTCTCTATCCAGTGTACTATGGTCACCACATCGCTTTTTGGCGGGAATCTACAACCAATGAGGAATCAGTTTTCCAGTGGCGCCATGGAACGTCACCTCTGACGTTTCAGCCGGCTTCTCACGTTCCATGCCCACGTGGTCTAGCTAGGTTTGATGTGGTTGTTGCCGTAGTTTCTAATTGCTGGTTTCTACTCCTGAGACTCAACGTAACGTAACGTAACGTCACGTCACAATATTGATTAATAAATCACATTCGTATACAGTACTTCAACATTATAAATTATTTTTATTATATTTCATATGGAAACTTAATATAATTACTGTGTCTGATGTGCTTTCGGGTATTCCAGAAAATATCCATAAAGACATTTCTGTGGAAGTCAGTGACGTCATTGATATCTTTGATCGGCGGAACCCAAGGCAAATTAATTTTGATTACATTCTTGCAGATGAGGACGTGTAATCAAAATAAAATAAATTTATATATTGAATGTGTCGTGTACTTTTCCTTTTTGAATGTTTGTTGTGACAGTGAATGTTTACTCTCACTCTAAATTAACCTTTGATTATTATTTCAAATCTCTTTATATCCAAAGCCTCAGAAAGTCCCTGAAATTGCTCAAATTTCAAAATTGGGGAGACCCCCCCTCCCCCAACCAAAACCCTGACTACACCCCTATTAGTCGTCACATTGTGTACCTCCATAAGTAGACACGGTTGTTACTTTGTGTGTACATCAGCTGGTGTGTGTACTCTACCTTCTGTATATTTATAAAAGGACTTACTTTCAAGCCACACTGAATTACTGCTCTTAATGCCACAGTAAAATTTAATAGTTTGGTATCCTTACCATGGAGTAGTTATTGAAGCTTCACCCACACAGTATAATTGAGGAAGCTTCACCCACATGCACACTCACACCTACTACACACAACATAACAACACACATACACCCACACCTGCTACACACAACACAACAACACACATACACCCACACCTGCTACACACAACACAACAACACGCATACACCCACACCTGCTACACACAACACAACACCATACATACACCCACACCTGCTACACACAACACAACAACACACATACACACCCACACCTGCTACACACAACACAACACCATACATACACCCACACCTGCTACACACAACACAACAACACACATACACCCACACCTGCTACACACAACACAACACCATACATACACCCACACCTACAACATACAATATTTCTCACTCATTAATACCACTTTACAAGACCACACTTGCTAGACACTGACCCATCTGCCTTAAATCATAATCCTCGCCCTGTTTCCTGTGTGGTCTGACAGAAGCATCCTGAGTCTTGCACGCTGACTGGGCCTTTACGTCATCATTTCCAGTTGCGTGATGAGACTTAAGAACAGATTTTGTTTTCTGGCTAAATTATCACCTTTGTTTTGGTAAAGTTTCTGTTGACATCACAGCAATGGCCTCCTGGAGATATGTCGGTCAGGTGAAGAGATCCTGCAGCTCTCTCTCTCTCTCTCTCCCTCTCTCTCTCTCTCTCTCTCTCTCTCCCTCTCTCTCTCTCACACACACAGATACGCACATCATCGTGGGAATTCTCATGAGCAATGCTGTACGAAGGAAGTGATGTTAAAATGTCACTGTCGTTAAAGGTCATGGTGCAGCGGGGCGACTCAACACGTAGTTTTAAAGAATACAAATATGAGAGAGATATTGACCTGACTACTCATAGAATTCATTTATATAGGTAAAGGTGGATAGTTAAATACACAGACATAATTTCTAAACACAATTTAATAACATATCAGTGCCTCTTCAAACAGCCTGAAATTTGTCCAAGATCGGAGTATTTGTTACAGCTGCTACAAGTACATTACGTGAAGATCTTAGCATTCACCAGGGAACACACCATTCACGCAACAGAGATCGTCGTCAGTGGCCAGACCATTCGTCTCCCACGGTCCTTCACACACGTTGTAGTACAGAGTAATCTGAATGGAAAAAAAAGACATTAGTCATTCATCTTTGCGACAGACTCATAACTGCACAGTAAATCTTCCTCAATGCGGTAAACACTGGCTGTAGTTAACTATGTAAGATTTTTAAGTGACGTATATTATCTCTCATTGTTGATGACTTGTGTGTTTACAAAAATACGCACTTAAAGGCCTTACTTGTTGAAGCGCAGTAATAACGTTAAAAGATTTAAATGTGTTTATGAACAATAAGAACAACAATTTGCTCTCTCTCTCTCTCTCTCTCTCTCATAACACCACTTACCTCCTGAGGTGCGAAGTCATTAAAGCCCAGTCTTTCGAGACCATCACACATCTCCTGGCCCAGGGTAATGTTGCCCACTAGGAGGTTCAGGTCCCCGTCGTTCGTATATTTCAGCCACTGGAGGTACATAAGTCATAATATCCATTAATGATATGTTGCACTAGTAACGCCTTTGGATAATATGTCAGCGATACCGTTAATAACGTTTGATAATATCAGATGAACTGACATTCACCCTCCTATGATACTTTCATATGTACTGGCAGTGACACACGGGGTAAGAGCAGTGTGCTCAACTGACCTCCTCTGAACACACGAGTTGGCATCTGTTTCCCTCCTCACAGTTCGCGATTTCAATAGGCGGGAGCTCGTCGATCATGATCTCTCCCTCCGGTGTGTTGGCGAAGGCGCCGCACCCACATAGATGCTCTTCTTGACCCCTGGAGCATAAGGTGGATGTAGAAATACTGTATTGAGATGCGGGAGTGAACCATATAAATCTCTCTCTCTCTCTCTCTCAGGAATACCGTGCTTTATTAATTTCTATAAAATATTTGGGAAAAAATAATTGTATTTTTTTTGTTTTTTTTGTTTTTTTTATCTGATGTTAAGACGACGATAATTTTAAACCTATATTTTTGTCTGGGGTTTGGGAAAGAAAATCTGAAATTCAACTTAGTTCTCTGAAATTTGGGAAGAAAAAGATGATTTTTGAAGGATTTTTCTAACTTCTGGGGAGGAATGTAAAAAAAAATAAGCTTTTATTTGAAGTTATTGTGGAGAAAATAAAATTGCACTTTTTTTCTCAAGTTCTGGGGAAGAGAGACAAAAAATTTCACGTTTTTTCTAAGATTTGTCTAAAAAAAATACTTATAATTTGGCTTTACTAGATTATTTTGGTGACGTGATAAGACGATTCACTTTTAAACAAAATAAAGTTAAGAGATAAGGAGAGATAAGGGAGATGATATATATTGATTCATTCATATATTTCTAATCTAATGAGAATGTGTGTGTGTGTGTGTGTGTGTGTGTTTTAATATTTACAAATGTGTCTACAGAAAATTTGGCCCACGAACAGAGATCTTACATAGTTACAGACACAGATGATCATTACAGATATATTGTCATAAGAATTTATTGCGATCTTCACACTAAACACAACAAGAAATTAATCCTCCTCTCTGTCTTCTTACTGGCGACACACACACACACACACACACACACACACACACACACACACACACACACACACACTGGATTAAGTAATACTTGTTTGGGAAATAATTAAGGTATGTAAATCCATTGATCATTGCTCTGGTGTATAAAAGGAATATGTGTTTTATTTCTAGTACATCAACGATAATTAAATTCATGTGGTAATTGGGATGAATGGAATACCTTGTGTGGCTTAATATGGAGTCTGGTTGACTTCACAATAGTAATCAGAAAACCTTTGGAAAATTAGTAAACAAAATTTTTAACTTGGACTCGTGTTACCAGGCCAGGGCGCAGAGGCTGAGGAGGACCAAAAAGCACTTCATCTTTCTTCTTCGCTCGTAGAAGAAACTGTTGATGAATTCCCCTCTAGCAAGCAGTTTTATAGTAGCTGGCGCCCTCCATGACCCCCTTCAATAGACACTGTCACCTGTCGACTCCCAGGACATGGAAATGAACCTGGCTCACTTAGCCGTTGGCAACTGTATCCACTCTGGCTGTTGTTATGCAAGTCACGTAATATTAAAATTAAGTTGTTTTTTTCTCTCTGTTGAAATTTCACCGGTAATGCATCTGCTACTGAGAGAAACTGAGAAACTCGAATGATAGCGACCTTGTAGGGAACACAGCTGATATATTAACTTTAATTTATTGCAATACTGAATCAAATATTACCAGTATTAGAGACACACTTCGTCATATATAAAAGAGATTATTATACATAACCTGCAGGTGGAGCCTCACTGTCTAATTTCTAACGTAATAGTGAGGTTATTTTATTAAACACTTGATGATCGGTTACTGAAGGGGACGCCACATCTGATGTTTGACGATTTTATTCAGTTCAGTGGGAGGAGGTGTGTACACAAGGGGTTAGAGAGATGCTTACTATTAGGTCGACACATGGAACTCCACAGGACAAAAATACAAGAGGAACATGACACTTGGACTGGTGGAACATAGAGAGCTTCCCGCCAGACTGACTCACTGTAGAATAAACAAAATAGTTTTCGCGGGTCAAAAGATCACTATAGTTGAGCTAAACACTGGGAGCAGCCAAGTGCGGTTCTTACTCAGTCTTGTTCAAGTAACTTTAGAACCTCACCATAGAGCTTCTTACAATCGGTATATCTGATCCTGGATGGCTGACGGAACAACTTAACTTAACCTAACATAATCTACCTTAACTTAACCAAACTTTCCCTAATCCAACCCAGCCTAACCTAGCCAAACCGAATCTGACTTTCCTAATCCAATCCAACCTAACCTAACCTAATCAAACCTGCTCTAATCTAACCTACCCTAATCCAAACTAGCCTCTACCAAATAATGTAAGGGAAAGGGCAAAGCTTTTTAGAAGAACAATTAAGATTATGATGAGCTATAACTATCTTTTGAGGGCTTACTTCTGGACCTCCTCTGTTAGTCACTCTGTAATTTGCAGTGTGATTCCATCTGGACGCTTCTTGTTGGATCAATGGATATCTGATATATTGTATTTGCTATGTCCCTTATGCCAATCCCTCTAGGCCTTACAGACGAGGGCGTGACTGTTGTATTGATCTGCCCAGGTGTTGCTGAAGATACATTTGTAAACTGTGTGACGACCGTTGTTTATGTTATTAAGTGGATATGACATACACAGTGTGCTTGAAGAATGTGAGGCTATAACATCCCAATAACACTGTCTAAAATAAAAATAGTAATAGCAACAACAATAATAATAATAATAATAATAATAATAATAATAATAATAATAATAATAGCATTAACAATAGAAATAATGTTCTGACAAAATCACAACACTCATATGAATAAGGTATAAGAATGTTAGCTAGTTTAGGTTTAAGTCAACCAATGCAGTGATAAGTGTATAGCAACCACATGACGTTATCTCAGGTGACTGTATTCCTGAGGCATGTCACCTGACAACCCCACCTTGAACCATGACAAGGTCGGCTACTGCAGGGGTCGTTTGGTTTTTTTTACTGAGTACGGTGGAATGTGACTGAACTTCTTCACCTCCACCTCACTCTCATGGCATCACTTCAGTATGGTACTATTGACTCAATTTATAACTCCTGATAGTTGTGTCCCAGGTAAAAAAAAAAGATAGTGCAAGCGTAGTGAGGGGGGGTTGGACTAGAGGAGGGGAGACAATTATAATAACTTGGAATAAACTGATCAGAGGAAATATTAACAGGGCGAAATAGGAGGGGGGTGATATGCTGACAAATACACTATATTGACTGGCCTGTGAATGGGATAAAATACTGAAGAGAGAATAACGTGACAAAGATTGATTCAAGGTGTTACACAGGGCTCTGTTCTTTCACCTACTCTCTTCCTTCTTTTTATTAAGGATTTACTTCACACTACGACTAATTTCATCCATATTCTTACGCTGATGATTCCACTCTTCACTCTTCTTCACATTTTTCCTTTCCCTCTAATTCTCAAACTAGATCTGTTTATAGAGCTGATATCGTTTCATTTAATAATGCGGATCTGTACTGCATCTCCGAATGGGGAGGTAGAAACTTGGTTAAATTAAATAGTAATAAAACACAGTATTTCCCAATTACACTTACGAAATTAGAAGATCTCCAACCAATCACATTTTAGGACCCAATCATTCAGCCAAATTCTAAGGTAGATATGCTAAGCCTCACCATTTCCTCTAATATGTCATGGAAGTCACACATCCACAACATTGCTAAAGCTGCCTCCTGAAAGCTGGGAATGCTGTACAGATGCCGTAGCTACTTCACTCCTGAGCAGTTGCTTCAAGTATATAAGGGATTCATTCGTCTTAACTTGGAGTACTGCTCTCATATCTGGGGTGGCTCTTCTTCTGTCCAACTCTTCGCCGCAATGTTGCTTCACTCTCTCTCTTTTACAGGTACTTTAATGGGCAATGGATTTGGCATCCTGTGTACCGCCGGCAAGGTCGTGGGGTCGTAACACTCGCCTTGTCCGCGGTGCCCACCGTTTCTGTGTGGATGTCGTTCACACTGAATAGCCCGTTAAAGTACATCCTTCTTTCCCCACAGCCAAACTGTGGAATGCTCTGCCTTCTTCTGTGTTTCCACACTCATACAATTTGTCTCACTTCAAAAAGCTGGATTCCGGCATCTTCGTGGTGTAGATTAATTTAGTCTTTTTCTTTTCTATTTTCAATTTATTTTTACTCTTATTTCTTCGCCCCGCAGGCTCCGTTGTGGGTCGATAACCTGTGTCCGGGTGGGCTATTCCCTGTAAAAAAAAAATAATAATAATAATTAAATAAGGAGAAACTAAGATGTCGGGGGAAAAAAGAATAACATCGGTTCTCCATTTAATTAATCTTTTTCGGGAGATTCTGAGATGTCAAAGTCATATCAATATCTTTGTTTTATCAGACAAAGTGAGATGGCCTATATATTATTAATTTATTTATTTATACATACACCTGCTGTGATTTCATTATATTAGTTCCCTTTTACCAAACTAAACAGAAATTTGCCCCCAAGAATCATAGAAACATTTGAGACCGTAATTTGTATGTGATATATCTTCCCTGTAATGAAATACATGTAATTAATACCCAGTGGAATTTTCATACAAGGAGAGCAAGTGTAAACACATTCTGGACTCAATAATACAACAGCCAACATTACAACACACACAATATAGAGAGATAAATTAAATACATATAAATAAAGACACTACACCAATAGTTAAGGTTCAAGGTGTCGACTTAACCTTATTTGAAATGTTATGACCCTTGTCCCTCTAACGAATCAGCTAACTAACCCAAGTAACTAACTAACTAACTAATAAATTGTATAATTGACTAATTAATTAAATAGTTAACCAATTAATTAACGAACTAATAAATTAAATAACTATTTAATTAAATAACGAATCAACTAACTTATAAACTAAATAGCTAATTAATTAACTAACCAGCAAATCAATTAACTAAGTAACTAACTAACTAATCAACTAACTAATTAACTAACTAACAACCAGTTGGCCCTACAGTCGAGCAGGTCTCCCGGGCGCCAGTGTGGTGACCAACGGGTAACACGCCACCATAGCGACAACACTACGATGCTAGCAGACACGAAAGCAACCATTTTTACACAGGTGTTGACCGAGAGTTGTGGGAGCGACCAGCTGACTGCATTACCTTGAATACTATCTGGAGACTGTGACAAGCTAGTATAAAACTGACTTGTGGTTGAAGACTCTCACAGTGTCTCTTACTAGAAGCAAGAAATATGAAGTCCATCCTAGTTCTTTTCTCCATCATCGCCCTGACATGGTAATGCTGTCCTGAACTCTCTCACTCGAGGGGAAGACCTTAACTTGTCATTAACTTGTGACTATTACAATCACAATAAGTTGAAGCTAATAGGAGATTCGTAGAGGTAACCTGATTAGTTGATTTTGTACACTGAATACTGCACTCACTTTCTGTTCTAAGAGTAATTGGTTCGATCCCCGGGCAATCCCAATTTACAGCTACGGGAACTTTGCAATTGGGTAAGCGAAGGTGGTTGAGATCAGTGCACACACATCACACTACAGTACTTCCTTGTGTATTCAATCAAGGCTTAGTTACTGAGTGCTGTGTCCACATTAATGGCCAGTTATGTCAATGGACCCCCACTTTCACTTTAACATACAGATCATTACAAACTGTAGATCAATGTGGATAGCAGTTCAAGAATAAAAAAAAAATACATAAATAGATAGAAAGATGAAGGAGGGGAATATAGACACAAGAGAACTTCACAGACGACTTGTACTCCATTAGTTATATACATGATTGTGGGTCAGAGGAAATATACTCTCTTATGCTGTTTTTCTCATTCCTCTCATGTTCCTCTCCTAAGTTCTCTTCATTTTCCCCTTCTCCTTATCTTCCTTTCATCCTTCCCCTCCCCTCCTCCTCCCCTTCCCCTCTTCCTCCCCCTCCCCGTCCTCCTCCCCCTTCCTCTCGTCCTTCCCTTCCCCCCTCATCCTCCCCCTCCCTTTCTATCACCTCCTCCTCTTCATCTTCCCCTTCCCGCATTTCCCCCTACCCCTTCATACTCCCTCTCATCCTCATCGTCCCCCTCATACTCTCCCTCCCTCTCTTCATCGTCCCCCTCATCCTCCCCTCCCCCTTTCTCCTTTATCACACTCCTCTTATTCTCCCTCTTCCTCTTCTCCTCTTTTCCCCTATCCCCTTCATCCTCTCCCTCCTTTCACCCCCCTATCCCCACCTTCCTCCTCCTCCTCCTCCTCCTCCTCCTCCTCCCCTAGCCCTCCCCCTAGACCCCTCTAGCCTTCCCCCCATCACTGTTCCACTGAGGAGTCACGCTAGCATCTTCCACAGGGCCGGGAAAGACAGAGATATCTGCCACTGCGCCGCCTTCGTGTCCCTGCCTGAGGGTGAGTTCATCGTGGACCTGCTCCCAGACACGCAAATCGAGGACTGTGATGACGCCGGTTACTGCCAAATTCGTTGTACTGAAGAGGTTAGTTCAACACTGTAGTCAAAGTGCTAATGTCCCTCAGCCCTTTACCGTGGTGAAAAGGGTGCAGCTGCCCCAACATTTAAATTGCACCAAGGCCCACACAGGTCAAAATGCAGCCCTGATGTCCCTGGTACACAAAGGCCCTCCTGGTCTTCATAAAGTATTAGACATTCCAAGTTTGGGTCTTTTGTGAAATATACAATGTGTCTCAGAAAAATATATACACACTATCTGACAGATCTCAGCGGAGATCACGTAAATGCTTGTATTATAACAGCAACATTGCCCTCACGTGTTGATGTGTGAGGTCTCCCACAAGTGAGGACAATGTTGCAGTTGTATTATAAGCATTCACGCGATCTCCACGAAAATATGTAAAGCGGTGTGTTTACATTTTGTCGAGACACCTTGTATACCTCCATGTAATACCTTAAATGATTATGGCGATAATTTCAATATATATTTTGGTCAAAATTTTAAACTGGTCTGTTTGTATGGACGGTCACTTAGACCAACAAAATACGAGCAATACATATTAATAGTTATGATGTCTGCAAGGCCACGAAGAAGCTCATATTGAACTTTTTTAACTTGTCAAAACATAAAGGTAAATTCAGACGCTTGAAATTACTGCGTTGACTACGAAAGATACCACAAGGACAAGAAAATATTCACTATTATTTCGATGTTTGCTCCGCGTTGGTAAATACTATATACGCAAACAAATTTCAATGTTCATTTTACAAATATTTTACATTAACCAGATGATACTCTTAATTATTGAATGCTTTTCTTGAGATAAATGAACAGTATTTACGGGAATGAGTCTTCGAACTTACCTGGCTGTCATCCAGTGCGGGTAAACTGTTATACTGTACTTCACTTGGGGTCAATGCTGCTCTAGTTTGGGAGGGAGCGAAAATTTAACCCCGACTATAACCTTCAAGACAGCTGCAACCCTTGACAGTTGTTGTTGACGCTGTATCTGTTTTATTCTGGCAATATAAACTGTTTAAATTTCATGCTATATCTGTTTATATCTCTCAATAGTAAACTGCTTCAATTCATATTTGGATCTAAGTTTCATTCTGGCTAAATAAACTGTGTCACTATCACTGTATCTTTCTGTACTTACAGTGGGTCAGCGCTAGTCAGGACGGCGATCTTGATATGATTGTCGGCAACTCTACCCTAGGGCAGGACATGTGCGATGACTTGGCGTTGGAGGGCTTCCATAATCTCGAGCCTGAGGAGGTTAATATTACTGAGAGAGAGAGAGAGAGAGAGAGAGAGAGAGAGAGAGAGAGTGTGTGTGTGTGTGTGTGTGTATAAGGAGTAGAATATTGACCATGGGAGTATGAGAAAGAATAATGACCATGAATGTATAAGGAGTAGAATAATGACCATGGGTGTATAAGGAATATTAACCATTGGTGTATGAGGAATATTGACCATGGGAGTATGAGAAAGAATAATGACCATGAATGTATAAGGAGTAGAATAATGACCCTGGGTGTATGAGGAATATTAACCATGGGAGTATGAGAAAGAATATTGACCATAGTTTTGCTAGGACGCCCACTAATAACACACCTCACCCATGCCTCACAGGTGAACTTATACTACGGACTGTGTGATGGCCCCTGGATGGACAACGGCCTGGCTAGCATTGATAAGCTATGCTGCAATGACGGAGTGTACCCCGGCCACTGTTAGCCAGCACCTACCACGTCTCTACCACCCCCTACCACGTCCCTTCCACCGATTACCATGTCCCTACCACCCCCTGCCTTGTCCCTACCACGTCCCTACCACCCCTTACCATGTCCCTACCACCGATTACCATGTCCCTACCACCCCCTGCCTTGTCCCTACCACGTCCCTACCACTCCTTACCATGTCCCTACCAATTCTCGTCCTTATAACCCCTACCATACCCCTTCCACACCCCCTACCATGTCCCTACCACCCCCTACCATGTCCCTACCACACCCTACCACCCCTTGCCATGTCCCCACCACCCCCTACCATGTCCCTACCGTACCATACCACTCCCTACCACCCGATATCTCTCGACTTTGTTTTTCAGTCTAATTTTAAGTGAAACAAAAGACTCTTGGACTTTTATTGTTTGGAAAATGATGTACTCTTTAGATGTGTGTCATTACCTGGCATTAATAAAAGAGTAGATAAGATGATTTTCTGAGTGTGTTTTTCGTCGACTCCAAATACTGTACTTACAGTATGTTTAGTCACCACCCAGCATAAGCCAGCTCCAAGGTGTTCAGTGTCTGTATCAGTCGTCGAAATTTATGATTTAATTGATTTCATAAAAATATCTCTCTCTTGACACTTTTAACTGGACAATCTTCCCTATTTACTCTATTTTGTCTATATCTCAACATTTATTTATTTATCTACTACTTATTTCTTGTCCTACCTTTACATTTCCATTTATTATTCCTTTGATTCGTCCATTTTATCGTCTGCTTATTGAGAAATTATGTGTATATCTTATTTTCTCAGAGATTTAATATGTAAGACAACTGAGTTTCTATTTTTACTCCATAACCTTCTTTTAAGTGTTGATACTGTTTATTGCATAATTGTAAGGATGGAAGTTAACATCCTCCTTTAGGTTGAGAGAGAGGGGAGCATATTTCCACTCACAGAAACATACACAGACACACGTCATATAGTAATTAAGTTATGGATATTAAGAAAGAATAAAAAATAAATATGCAAATGAAAAAATTAAATGACAAGAGACAGTTAGATGGAAACAAAATATGGTGAGATACGTAAATGAAGACAAAGACTGGTAGGAGACACGTAGATGGAGACAAAGACTGGTAGGAGACACGTAGATGGAGACAAAGACTGGTAGGAGACACGTAGATGGAGACAAAGACTGGTAGGAGACACGTCGATGGAGACAAAGACTGGTAGGAGACACGTAGATGGAGACAAAGACTGGTAGGAGACACGTACAGTAGATGGAGACAAAGACTGGTAGGAGACACGTACAGTAGATGGAGACAAAGACTGGTGACAGAGAGACATTATCTCTCAGCACCGGAAACCTCTTGCGTCTAAAAGTCACGGAGGTATAACGCCATCTCCACGACGCAGTACCTCCTGGGATCCCCGTCTGCCAACACAAAAAAACAACAGCACACAGTTGTCAGCGGAACCTCACCTCAAACACGCGCCAAAGTTGAGAGCGAGAGCAATTTACCCATAAAGAATATCATTACTAAGGAAACCCGTATAGAGACGATCAGTACCTGGAGTTTGAATACCAGTAAAATCCCTCAAAACTGACGTCTTCACTGTTGGATTTATCTACTGTGAAATTTGTTCCTGCGTCCTGCATTTCGTGTGTACAGTATGTAACAGTCTATCAACCGACCAGTCAGCCTCTGAGACACCCCTCCTTCACTACTGCTCACGTGTGTTGGGCCAGAGAGAACCATGGCATCATCAAGTCACGTTAGCATTTACTTGAAGCTCATTATTGTGTCAGTCATAATAGCCTCAGGACTGACCATTGGTGGGGCGGTGGGGAACTCTGTAGTTAACAGGGAAAATAACTATGAGGAATTAGTTTTTAGTGGGGATGGTGGTGGTGGTGATGATGATGGTAGTGATGATGATGATGGTGGTGGTGTAGCTGATAATGGTAACGAGAATGTGGTCGGAGGCAAGAACAGTACATCTCAACCTCAGTGCTTCACAAACGCCACCACCGGATTGCGTACATGCGACTTCTCCCACACTAAGGTACGTACATGAATGTATGTATGTATGTATGTAATGTTATGCTATGTATGTAATGTAATGTATGTATGTATGTATGTATGTATGTATGTATGTATGTATGTAGTCCTATTCCTGATACTTCAGATCAATTTGCGGGATTCTGAAAATTAACGGTGCGGGGCGGGGCCATGAGATTGGTCTGAACAAGGATTCTGAGACATTCCGGCAAAGAGGTCGGAAAAAATACAAATTACCAGGGAAGGCATAAAGAGAGAAACACGAAGAATACGGCAAAATAACGTTTTTCTATTGCATTGTTCATTTTTATAACAGCTGTAATGGGGCCCTGGTACTGTACAGCTATTAATGCTCTAGCAACTCTAAAAGGAACAGAAACTTGTTTTTCTTTCGATTTCCGAAAGGTAAAGAGAGGTGAGGTGAATCGTGCTCCTACTTCTGTTCTGTTGACTGTCGACTGTTCATTAGTCTTTACGAGCTCTTTCTTTACTTAATGCATATAGTAATGATAACAGTCCACTCTTCAAAATTGGTAGTTACTTCAGAGTATCATTGCAATATATAAGATGAGTAGGACACTGTTGTATTCTCGAAAATTTATGGCTGGAACTTTGAAGTTTTGGGTCATTATTCGTTTTAGGACCGTCCACGACTTATTGGACGAAATTATGCTTTTACAGTTTATTTTGATGTGTTTTGGTTGAGTTTCATATTTATTTCTTGAGAAAATTCAAGAATACCTTTCCAACCTAACCCAAACCGTATGTTAAACACAAAAAACGAACCAATCCATACCTAATGAAACCTGGCCTAAAATAACCAAACCTAACTTTATCTAACCTATCTTTACCTAACCTATCCTAACTTTACCTAACTTATATTTACCTACCTAACCTTACCTTTGTCTTTGCAATTTTGTGCCATTTCATGAAGAAGCTATCAAATGGTTCAGAATCGGTAGAGTACAACCACGGAGCTCTATATTGATATTTATATAGAGTGTTAGAGCAGAAAAATATAGTACACTGCTTTCGTTTCAAAATTTTTATTTTTCCAGTTTCATGATTCCCTCGCTAATTGAATATTCATTCTGCAAATATTCACTTAAACAAATATTCTATTTTTACATCTCTTTTTCCTATATAAAAGCTATGGTTCCTTAAGGTAATGTACCAAATATAAAATATTTCATTACTTTCTTAATGTGCTAGGTGCTAAATTACGGTAATTAGGTACTAAATTATAGTACTCAGGTACTAATTTACAGTATTTAGATAGGTATTTCTTGTTTGTGAACTGATTTTATGTTTTTGTTTAGGTTAGGTTAGGTTTGAGTGCGCTATCCTCCAATAGTCTCAGATTAGTTTATTATGACGCGGGTGTGACCTTTGAAATTCATTATCCTGGTCTCTGTGTGTGTGTGTGTGTGTGTGTGTGTGTGTGTGTGTGTGTGTGTGTGTGTGTTTTGTGATATCTCTCTTTGCTACCCACAACATTGAGGAAAGCCAAAGTTGACAAGTTAAAATAACGAGCGGATAATCTAGGGGTTGAAATACGTGGATGCAGCAAGTAAGGAGCACACACATAAGAATCACTGTTATCGTGACACAAATTTGAGGTATGAAAGAGATAAGAAGATTATTAAATAAACCGAGTCACTAAATGGCATTTATATCATTAAGTACCTATTAATACAGTTAATTAGGTACATTACATAACACAAGTTAAACACAACTACTGTATGCAGTAATCAAATCACACCAGAATAGTTCCTGATTATTCTTACTTTAAACATTAAATACACATACTATATACAACAACACAAATACCTGATAGAAATGGCATCTCAGGTAGCATGTCTAGGTTGAGATGGCCAACCACAAGGAACCAGGGATTAACGCTGTAGTCCACTCCCATCAAACCATCACAACACCGTAATACAATTTTTTGTCCACATTCCGGAAGAAGAACGCCGTAGGCCGCAGAGAAGAGATTGAATGAGCTTACCAGGCAGACACACACTTGCCTCGATACCTCGTTCTCATAGTCGGATGGGAAACTGATTCTGAACCGGTGCTCACTGGGGTCGAGTAGCTTCGTGAAGTAGTTTATTCTCCTGGTGTCAAGTTGGGGCAAGTGGTGGTTATGGTGGTAGACTGAGGAGGGGATAGAGTCGTCACAGTGTGTGTGTGTGTGCGTGTGTGTTAGATATCTTCCTAAATGTTAATATTTCAATTCAAACGAGACATAGGTATAATATAATAAGTCCAAGATGAGTGTTTTGTCATCATTAAATTCCATGATCTATTTTCTTTTTTTTTTTCCTTCCAGAAATTGGTAAAACTCTCTGAGCACGCTGGACCTGACACAAGACACCTGTTGGTCATTGGAGCGTTTAATCTGGACTATTACCCATTGTGTTTGAAGTCAGTCCTCCTCGTCAAGTGCTTCACAATCAATCACATTGACTATAGTGACCCAGCCAACCAGTGTCCTGCCCTTCATCGGGCTGTTGTTCAAACCTCTAATGTGACCAAGATGGCGGGAAAGTTCCACCAAGTTGAAGTGCTCGACAGTAGCATAATCTCCTTGAGTCTGACGTCAGGGGCAACAAGGGGTGTATTCACGTTCTTTCGCGTGGTCATCCATGAACTCTACCAACTTATCATTTTAGGGTTCTGTACTTTCACATTACACTCATCCAGGATATCTACCATACATTCAGGAGGACTTGTGGTAAAATCTGACTCTGATTCATTGCACGGCATCAACTTTTCCAATATCTCAATGGTGGAAACTGAAGGTATCTTGGTGGAGAGGGGAGAATTGACCCTGGAGAATGTCATCATCAACAAACTGGATTTTAAGAGCATTATTGTTAATGGGTCGGGAGTGTTGATCCTGAAGAATGTAGTGTTGAAGATGGCGCACCCCAGAGGTCTGGTGTTGGCTGGAGGACAAATTAATGTGATCAACGTCACCTGCAACAATATACTCCTAAGTGACGGCGTCTTCAACTCCAGCTCTAACACCGATATAACCATTTTCCAGTTACCAGATGATGTCGTGCCTCTCACCTTCATAGAAACCACCCTGGGAATTATTTTGAGCCTAATTATAGTCTTCATAATTGTAGGTATTGTATTTTGTTATTGTATATGGTCCAAGTATGTTGAGCCTGAACTTCTCAAGCCTGTGGCAGTCGTATGAACTGGATTATACTTTACAGGATACAGTAGGGTGTTTATCGTCTCAAAAGACGTCAATAAAAACAATCGTAACCGGCGTCCCACTCACGTTTCCACACCTTCCCTTGTTGTGTAAAACATATATTCATATCTTAAAATTCTTCAATCTCATGTATTAAAACACAGAATATTGAACAACTTTAGTATTAACTATTATATACAGTATGTATACTATATCCTAGACATTAACATATTATATATATATACTGTATATATATATATATATATATATATATATATATATATATATATATATATATATATATATATATATATATATATATATATATATATATATTAGGCTGTGCCTTTTTACCATTGACAGACATACTACTATGCAGCATCATACTACAGTATATCCTGTGATTCCTGTCTCACTTGGAAAATATGGGCTCGACAGACTAGCATGATAAACACTTCACAACACAAAAGAGTCAGTGTGTGTGTGTGAGCATATCTGTAGAGCTGGTGCTACAAGTTCATTATATTAAATAGTATGTTCACAATTATTGTACCTTTCCCTACCAGAATACTGATTGTTTCATCTTCAGAGCTCTGAAAACTGGGTACCATAACCAATAGTATTATTATTATTAATCATTATTATTATTATTATTATTATACAACTTTTATAATTGCTATTAATATTAGCATTATTTCGATAATTATCACTCATAATATTATGATAATTATCTCAAAAGAACATACACTTTGATCTTTCTCTCTCTCACTCTGTCAGAAATGATCATATTTGCAGTGTTTTGTATTTTACTCAACAAGACGAATACAGAGACAAGTTAAGAAAATGTTCCATGAATGCTGTACAGTATATCAGAATTAAATAAGAAAAAAAACATTACGTAAAGTTGTTTTCTTTCTATAGTAAAAAATGCAATGAAAACCTGAATTAAAGTTAAACCTCTACTGTATATATTGGACTTGTCTCTCCTTATAATGAGTCAGATGAGGCTTCACAAATAACGGACTCGTGATATAAGGAAGCACTAAAGAAAACGGGTCGATTCCAATTTTATTTCAGGACATTCTTAATAGTTTTGTGTGTGTGTGTGTGTGTGTGTGTGCTTTGTCTCGCATTCTATATCTTTAATCTTTTGAGGACGATGGTTTAGCCCTTTGAAGATTTATGTTTTAACCATTTGAAGACGATAGTCTAACCATTTCAAGATGACAGTTTAACGCTTTGAAGATGACAGTTTAACCCTCTAAGGATGATAGTTAGCGTATATATTTATTACCTCTCTAAAGTAAGATGTGCTATGATATGCTTTGTATTGTTCTGCTGTACTTTTTTGCTTAAAGAGTTACATCTTCGTGTGAGGTCTTTTTTTCTTTTTCTTTTTTTTACGGGGATGAGTCCACCCGGGCACAAGTCACGACCTGGGGGGGGGGGCCCAAATATAATAATAATAATAATAATAATAATAATAATAATAATAATAATAATATTAATAATAATAATAATAATAATAATAATAATAATAATAATAATAATAATAATAATAATAATAATAATAATAATAATAATAATAATAATAATAATAATAATAATAATAATAATAATAATAATAATAATAATAATAATAATAATAATAATAATAATAATAATAATAATAATAATAATAATAATAATAATAATAATAATAATAATAATAATAATAATAATAATAATAATAATAATAATAATAATAATAATAATAATAATAATAATAATAATAATAATAATGATAATAATAATAATTCATAGTCAATAAAATTTATAATAAAAATAAAAATAAATTAATTAAATCATCATATATAATGATAATAATAACAATAACAACACTGCAATAATAATAATAAAGAACCATAAAAAAACACAAAAATTAAAAAAAGTAAATAGTGAGAAAAAATATATGTATGTTGTGTTGTCAAAGTAAGAGGAACAATTGAAACCCTACAATTGTGTGTAAATGAGGCAGAAAGTAGATCAGCAACCTGGGACTTGGTCACAATTTTCGTGATGCCATATAGCAGCAGGGTCTACCATTAGACAACTCATTAAGCTTCCAATATCTTCCCAGGCGGTAGTATGTCCCTGTTTGGTACCTGCCTACTACCTACCAATTTACATCACTAACCACTCCACCGTATCTGTGTCGCAGCTGAAAATCATGAAGACGATTTAATAACTGCAACAAATTTTTCTTTGTGTCATTTTTTTTGTTTCGTTAATAATTAGGACGTGTTGGTTTATGATTGTCATACTGTCAACAGTTTTTTTTAATAGATATTTTTTATAATATAATCAGGCTTTTGGTGACTTTTAAGAAAGTTTTGTAGGTATGTATATTTATATTTTATTTTTAAGGTAATGAGATAAAATTTGGGTTGAGTTAGTGAAGAGCAGGTGAACATTTTCATCAGGGTACCCAAACCATGTAGAAGAAATATCAGGGGCGATGGGATGAAGGAGTAATGGGGTGACTACATATGGAGTTTAATTCGGCGGTGACCACAAGGATCTCGAGAGGCGGTGACCACAAGGATTTCGAGAGGCTGTGACCACAAGGATCTCCAGAGGCGGTGACCACAAGGATCTCGAAAGGCGGTGACCAGAAGGATCTCGAAAGGCGGTGACCACAAGGATCTCGAGAGGCGGTGACCACAAGGATCTCGAGAGGCGGTGACCACAAGGATCTCGAGAGGCGGTGACCACAAGGATCTCGAGAGAAGGATCTCGATGTTCAAATGTCCATTTTTAGCATTAGTGTTGTACTGTAGTTGATTTTCATTTTTAGCAAATGTTGATAAAGAATTTGTTTTTCTGTGAAGTATAATGTATTATACATACTATAGTTTTATAGATTAAGCGATGTTAGTTAAATAACACTTTCATTAGAAAATGCAATAATATTATAAGTTTACATCAACAATGCTGTTTTGTTTTTTCTGTTGAAAACATGGGTATGACAGATTGCTAATTTATGAGATTTGTTTTTTATGTAATACAAAAGGTAACGTCGTTTTTGGAATCAGTGTAGCCAAAAACTTAAATAAACAATACAAGTTTAAAATAGACACATATTTCGAGAAAAACAATTACCCTGTGTAATCGTCCTACTGGGAGATACTGCGTCGCCATGTACAGTACAGTACGTTTACCAAACGATATGTATCATTTTGTACTGTATTCTGTTTTTTATCATTGAAAATACGTGGCTGGGCGTGGAAACATCAAGAAGATCTTTGTAAAGTTTTTGACATGACATCTATTAAGGAAAATCATGTTTAAAGTTAGGACAGCCGTGGCGTTTCGAAATCGTCATAACAAATGTACCAAGAAGAGATATCTTTTGTTTCAATAATTCGTAAATTCTGAGCGGAAGAGCGAGTGATTATTACACTGGTGTTCGTGAAGAAAAGGGCATGTTTGGTGATGCTTTTGATTACGAAAGATAGTTAGTGCGTGACATTTTAGAACAAGATTAAGTATTACGAAGTTGGTGTTTCCTCAGTTAAGGACTGATGTGGGAGGATGTGGCGCCACTTTGGTATACGACAGCTGATACGAGGAAAGGAAAATCATAAAAGGTAAGAATATCAAATATAATTAGGAAATCAAAAGAAATAAGATATTATTATGACGATTGGCACAGTTATTATTCTTACTACTACTACTTTTTTTTTTTTTTTTTACGTGGCCTCCAGCCTCCCCCAATAGCCACACCTTCGCCACCATTTTATTACCTTAATATTAAATATCCTAATACATAAGTAGCTATCCTGTCTGTGTTGAATTAGTTGAGCCGCAGATCTATGCGGCATTTGTGTTGAATTAGTTGAGCCGCAGATCTATGCGGCATTCAGTGACTGTAGCCTCATAGTCAATACCTGCAGCAGTTGTCGGGATTGGGGCAAAAGCTCTCGTTCCCCTGAGGCAGAGCAAAACCGACCGAAGGAGAGAGAAAGACAGTCGACATCTCATCCAGGCTGTAACGTAACTTCTGGGCTGCTGCTTCTGTTCGGAGATCACCTCCGCGAGTCTGGCGTAGAAATATCTTCCACTTGGTCCCATTCCACCAGAGGTTGTGAACACTAGAGGAGTAAAGCTGCCTTGATCAACGTTTTGAATTCTCTCCCCATATGCCCTTCTCTTGTCGTTCTCGTTCCTCCTATGTGCAGCATCGAGAGCTAGGTTACGGTGACATGCGGCCATGGGATCAAAAATCCTGATGTCGAAGAAAGATTGCTGTCCCTGCGTCCAGAATCCTCGAGCACTGACGTCCACACGGGCTTCGTTAGATGTGTTTGAAGTCCTGTGTTGGAAGATCTCACCATCCAATGGAAGGAGGGTCGGTTCTACCATGACATCCCGGCAGATTTCCTTCAACATATTTGCGGTGAGGTCCCTTACCTCGTCATGCCTCATGCATATGAAGCCCCCTTTCTTGCACACCATGGCGTGATCGCCATCATAGGAAGAACCACACACGCATTGGGAGGGCAAACCTTCTACTGGCCGACCATACCTTAGAGCAATGGCATCCGTAAATGCTTGTTTATTAAGACTGAAACCATTTGCCCTTATCGGTAACGTAGTTAACCAGTTCGAGGCGCCCACCACCTGCGCTATAGTTACTTTTTTTTTCAAATTTTCTGGTATCTGCAGCAACAGTTGCTGCAACTTATCATTTTGGCAGTGCTGTCGATCTGTCGTAATGGACCTACGAATCTTATTTACTTCACTGGTATCCACCTCCCCTGTTGCATTCTGGGCTATTATGTGGTCCGTGAGGGCTGCCGTGAGCTTAAGTGAATTTTGATGTTCGGTGGCAGCAATCTCCTCTGGATTGGTTAGTCCCATCCCTCCTAGTCTTGGTGGAAGTGCAAGAAGTGCTCTTTCTGCTGGGGTTAAGTCAGGGTGTTTCACTAATTTAGGAATGAAATTGACACTGATAACTTCTTCCAGAGGGTGGAGGAGGGGTCCTATATCAGGGATAGTACGCATCAGGTAGTTCCAACGATGCTTGACTCCATGGGTGAATGCAGCAAAGGCCCCATGTGGCTCTGTGTTAGCAATCTACTACCACTACTACTAATAATAATGCTACTAATACTACTAATAATACTACTACGAATAATAATAATAATAATATTAAAAATAATAATAATAATAATAATAATAATAATAATAATATTATTATTATTATTATTATTATTATTATTATTATTATTATTATTATTATTATTATTATTATTATTATTATTATTATTATTGTTATTATTATTATTATTAGTAGTAGTAGTAGTATTATTATTATTATTATTATTATTATTAATATCAGTAAGCAAATTCATATTTACATATAAATTTATAAATATCCTAATTCATATGAAATAACCACTGATAATTATAATTAATTATCCTCGGCAAAGGACCTTCCCTACTTGATTTAAGCATTTGATGGCTTTGTCGGTTATCATTGGTCTAACGTGTCTAACTCAACTCAACTACGCACTTCCACCCCAATGACGTAGTTACATTGTTGAAGTTCTTACAGCATATTATATGCTCTCTCTCTCTCTCTCTCTCTCTCTCTCTCTCTCTCTCTCTCTCTCTCTCTCTCTCTCTCTCTCCAGTCTGCAGATAAATCTGAAAAACGAAAATTTCTTATACTTATTCATCAGCAGTACTTAAGATTAAAAATGCACAATAATTCACATACACACTGAGGAGTATATCATAAAGCATAAAATTTGCAAATTGTAGTCACATTTGAATGTATAAATAGTTGAATACACTTACGTATGTGGATCTGCATGTTTGCAAACAAGCGTGTTTGAACTTGTACGCGTGTGTTTGCTCACGAAGAAGCTTTCACGGATCCTGCCGTAGGTGTCCGTATCGTAGTGTGCGGATGAACAAACCAAGCTCATTTAGACTTTATTGCGAATTTCAAGGAGTTGCTGACTTGTGTTACACGCGCGGAACCGTCCACAGTCCCCACACACGCAGTTAGCCTTCCCTGTTCCCTACTGTTGTTACTATAGTCCAACCAGTCTATAATAAACACTCGCTCCTCCCCCTCGCCAGCCACTTAAAAGTCCATAACAGTTTTTTTCGATTTATCTCGTTTCCTTTTTAATAATAAAAAGAATCAGGTATAGCTGCTGCGTCCTTTGCACTCACCAAACGTTGCAGTTATGTTCCGTCTCCCATCTACTCGCACGGCGACGTTCATTGTTGTAAACAGGAGTCAAAACCACCCATGTGATAACATTTTGGCTCCCAAATTCTTGCTTCGTAATTTCTCATAAAAGCGCTCATAAACACCAACCCGTTACTCAGCCAAGGGACCGATAAGCCACTGCTTCCACCAGTACAGTATGCGTCATACTCGTACTTGCTACATCTTTATTTACTTTATTTTTATTGTGTTAGTTATTGTGTCCTTAGACTGGCATAGTTATATAAGTGCGTAGTTACAAAGAAGAAAATTTGACCAGCGAGGACAGCACATAACATTACTACGTTTGACGTTTCATGTTTCACATTTTTGAGATGATACTCAAGTTAGTTTGTTCAAGAAGTTTCATGATAAATATGCGTGCGATGGTTGTTGATAGAATAACATCAGAGTGACATGTGATGAATCATTTTAGCATTGTTATCTGAAGGTATTACAAGAAACACAAGATTAGATAAGAACAGAAATTATAGATTGTATTGTTGACAACTAACACACCCTGTAACATTTTCGTCGAGATCTCCAACAATTAAGATAAGAAATTGTGGAGTGATAAAGTTGATGATTTAGAATTGCTGGGCTAAGAAAATAAGTGGTGTTTGCTTTCTGTTGTTCTCGAGTTATTACACACAGTAGCTAGAAAGATCTTATCATCAACATCAAATAAGGCCAATTGTTGTGGATTGATCGGGTTCATTACTTAACCATTGATGCGGACTGCTTGGAATGAGATGAAATTATTAGAACAATGAAAGTGTGCAAGTTTTTTTGTTTTTTTGTTTTTTGTAAACTCTTCTCGAATAATCACTTATACATAAAACTTTTATAAACACTAATTAGGACCAAAAATATCAAGGAATAATAAGATTGATATTAGTAAATCTTGCTAAAAACAAATTTATTTGTCTTAACTAATATCTGATTACATGCATTGAGGTATATTTTCATCAGCAAGGGTTAAGATCAAACTGTATTGGGTCAGAAATAGTTAGGACATCCTCAGTCTCATCACGGAGGAGGAGGACTTCGGCTAGCACTCGCCAGGGTACACGCCGCCTTCACAACACAGAAGCATGTCGCTGGCAATACTCACGTCCTTCCAGCCTCCCGAACACAAATTGTAGGCGAGGTAAACCTGATAAAATAACGTGATTTATTGTTTATTACAGACTGAGAGAAGATCCATAATGATAACAGAGACAATCTTTAAAAGCAAAGAATTCGTATAAGAGATAAATAGCTTCTATAAGAGAGTTCGTTTATGAGTTTGCGTAAAAGAGAGAGAGAGAGAGAGAGAGAAGGGATTAGTGTAAGAGAGTGAGTGTGAGAGAATAAAAGAAATACAGAGATTAATTAACGGATAAATAGAACTAGATGAAGTAAGAAAAGTGTGATGGAAAGTGTTAAGTGTATTCTAACCTAACCTAAAAGAAATGACACAATTCTTACATATCATCAACAATGAAAGGTGTGTATGTGTGTGTATCTGCGTCTCTGTATGTGTGTGAGTGTATGCGTGTGAGTGTGTATATGTGTGTGTAACTGTGTCTGTGTGCGTGTGTGCTTGTATGTGTGAATGTCTGCTTCTGAGTGTGTGTGTGAGCGCGAAAAGACTGATAAAAATACAGGGAGAAAACAATACACTGTCGTGGTCTACCATCTACCTCCTTGAGTTTCCTGCTTTGAGTATAAGTATGTCTACTTTTCATTCCATATTTAAAAGAAACTTTTTAATAACTTGGATCTTTCAGACAAACTTCCTGCTCAATTCTGTACAGCTAATAACTCGTCCTGTTATTTCCACAACACTGCTCGTGTATACAACTGAAGCAATGAATTCTCGCAATTTAGATTCTGTTCATATCTCTCTCTCTCTCTCTCTCTCTCTCTCTCAGCAGTACTCACGGTTGAAGGCTGCAGGTTGTGGTAGCCTTCCTCCTTCAGACTGGTACACATACTCTGGCCCAGCACTGTACCGTCGTCCAGGATGTAGTTCAGGTCCCCTCCGTTAGTCACTGCATCCCACTGTCAACACACCACAATGTTATTAAAGGAAAATTTTATATCAGAATTAGTAACTTTATTTACAGATTTAGAAAGAGAAATTTTCTATTGATTCAAAACGGTAATTTATTATTGATTATAAGTTGAAATCAGATTAAATTGCTAGATCCCGATTTTCAAAGATAAGCACTGGCAGCCCCACCAACACGCATCTCCACTCAGCTTATGAGGGCATCTAGGAGGCCCCATAGCACTTCTTATGATATTCCACTTTATCAACCCTATTCGTACCAAACTCTATTTATACCCCGGACTAACACTGCGTGGAACTCCCTGCCACAGTGTTTACCTGTATCATATGCGGTAGACGGACGTTTAGGCCACGGACCACAACCCTTGGACGTTTGGGCCAGGAGGTTTTATTAGGCCAGATGATGGAGATATAAACCAAGAAAAAAATATTTAAAAAACTACCAATCTGTTCCAGGTTATACTTGACAACCAACCTAGAACAAACAACATCTGCGAAGGGTAGAATAATAAGATTACCAGTCTTGTGGGTCATGGTAATCCCAGAGTCTGGAAAATTATTAAGTGTTTTCAAGTTGAGAGCTCCCGTGTCGATACGATAATACTTCAGGAGGAGCATAGTATCTGTCCAACTAAGAGGGTCGATAAAGCCTATGATGAACTCAGGGGCGCCTTTACAACTTGAGCCAGGGCATGAAGGAAGGCAGAAAACCTACCCAAGAACTACTCTGTGGGATAAGCCATAATCTTCGTGGACGACAAACAAATGTTTAAATGAAATATATTGAATTTAGTTGATTCTGTATGATACATTATGATATATGACATCAAATAAACTGTGCTAATTCATAAATATGATTACTATGTTGTAATTTATATTACTTTGACCCGTGGCCCAAGCGACCCGTGGCCCAAGCTACCCGTGGCCCAAACGTCCCATGGCCAAAACGACCTGTGGACTAAACGTCCCATGGCCCAAAAGACCCGTGGCCTAAGCGTCCCGTGACCCAAAAGACCCATGGCCTAAAGATCCTACATTCATCGTATACTCCCTCCCCCCAACCACCGCCGCACAGTGTTTCCTACTGCACCATACATAACATTCATCAGTTGATTCAGTTCTAATTCATACTGCATCGAATATCTTCACAGCCAACGACACTTGTCTACATTCTTCCTGGGTCAAAAAAAAATCCTTGAATAGAATCAGTGGAAAGAAACACAAATAAACAGAAGGAAGAAAGGCACAAGGAGATGATAGTTTGACTGTACAGTACCTCCTTCTGACATTCTGCCTGACAAGTTTCAACATCATTACAGTCAGCGGACTCAAAGGGCGCCATCTCATACAATGTACAAGTTGGATGAGAACTGTGGTACTTGAGGGCGGCCATGCACTGACATTCGCCTGTTTCCTCAGCCCTGTAGAGTAAGAGAATATTATTGGAAGAGTTTCTCCTAGAGCCGAGAGAAGACAACATGAATTGAGAGAAACCGTAATTATAAAACGAGTGTAGGAGTACAGGTGTGTGTGTGTGTGTTGAGTTTATGAAACAACGTTATTAGGGTTAAAAAGGCAAATATCTTCTTTTCTTATTTTTTTATTTTTTTTAAATAAGGATAAATTGTTTTTGTTTTGTTCTTTAACTTAAAGGAAACAAGTTGATACATGTCACTTTTCCTTGTTTCACTTACGGCGTCGGTTACTATCATGATACAACTCAACTTTACCTGAATTAGTTGAGGTTAGATTAAATCATTTGATTTAATAATGATGTTATTCACTTATAATTTGTATTATTATTATTTATATTATGGTCCCCATACACAAAAGTTTTGAAGTTATGATTTTTTTTTAGATATTTAGTTATTATCGCAGTCATTTGTATTTAGCATGACAGGTGAATAAGACTTAGCTGAAAAATTAATTAATATCATGCTGCAATCTAATTAGTATTAAAAATTATTTACGTTTTTACTAAATACGTTGATAAAAAGAACGGACAGGACTCATTTATTTCACCTCTTATGAAATAGTCACCATACTGTCTCAGTTTTTTATACCCGAGTTGTATACAAGATGAGTTGCTAGTAAACAATAAACGAGTGTTACCATGTGAGGGCGTTGAAGAAGAGGAGGATCACGAGGAACTTCATCTTGGTCGTCAGTGGTTGAGTGAAGACCAGCAGCTTCACCAAGCTCTTTTATACCGGTCCTGACCCTTCGAACCAAGGTAAAGGGTGTTACAAGTCAGCTGGCAGCTCCCATGGATTCAGACAAACGCCTTGAAAATATTTATGGTGTTCACGTGACCTGAAGCAACTCATCTCTGCTATTATATTTTTCTGTACTTTTTTTATTTCGCCACACTACAGAACACGCTAGTTATTTTAAAGTGTAAATACCCGAAACGCGGATTTTCCCTTTGATTTCTTGCTGTATTTCGGTACAAGGTATTTGACGTAAAAGTGCTGACAAAATTCCCTAGACATTTTGCACGATTTTACATCTACTTGATGGTTTTGTAGGAATTTGGATCTCAAAATCCTTTTCTTCGTATTTTTTCGTCGTGTTCTTGTTGACATAATTTGTGATGTAAAGTATCGCTCACTAGTAGTAAGCCAATTGCATGCATGACCCTCAAGTAGACATTAGATTTTGCCAAGTGCCGCTGAAATTTCTCCCTGTCTTCCTGTCATTCCCCCAGCTTCCTCCTCCTCCCTCCTCCAATTTATTCCTAGCTTCCCTCGTCCCCCTCATTGGTACTAAGAGACACATGATATCATTCACGTATCGCCTCTCAACTCGGCACTACAAGGTCTCCACAATGAAATTAAACAAGTGTTAAGTCTTATAAATTTTTATTAAATAATGCAAGCAGGAAAATCCACACAACTCGTAGTCATTTGCTTAAGTTTTATTTGGCACATAAGTAAACATATCATTCGGGTACATTAGGGTACGTTAGGGTAGACATTCAACATGTACACCATTCGTAGCACAGACTAAATCACACTGGTACTCTGAGCTGCTAACCAGTTAAAGCTTATATGCATAAAGGGGCAGCCGTGGGTGTACAGTTTAACGTGGAATTTGCTGTATTCGGTACTGGCTTGGCGGATGGACTTCCTTGGGCCTCTGTGGAAGGCATCATGTATGCATTCAACATCTTCCTCCGTTGTTCTGGGCTTTTCTCTACCATGCTGTTTTAGAAAACTGCCAGTCTCCTCACATTGAATCATCCACGCGTACAGGTCTCTTCGGGTCGGTAGTTCCTTGCCATAATGAGACTTTAGTTCGGCCTTCCATATAACACACATTTCGCCTTTTTTTTGTAGGGTCGTAATAGTTTAATCTGAAACACAAAAATAAAACATAATAACTTAGGTATATGGTGTGGTAACTATGCAAGTTTCAACATCCTCACATTTATACATACAAATTTATGACTTCAAATTTGTTTCATTTCAATGAAAACACCCTGTATAACTACCCCGTCACAGTACCCAGTTATCCAAATATCACCACAAACACCAATGGCTTACGTGAGGTGCACTGCACGCCCCAGCAACAGCCTTGAGGTCCCTTATCTTGCACTTAGTTGTCTCCTTTATATCAACAATATATATATATATATATATATATATATATATATATATATATATATATATATATATATATATATATATATATATATATATATATATATATATATATATATATATATATCTGTCTAGGTTCTGCTGAATGTCTCAAAAAGAAATTTTAGGGAGAGTCAATATACAATACTAAGATAGAGTTGTGTTCAGGATTTGTCGATTATGAAAAGTTTATACTTTAACGACTCACAGTATAAGCAAATTACTTTTACAATCAGTTAACAATGTGATGTGAATATATTTTCACTTGGAAGAACAGACCAAGTTTGCATCATTTATCAAATCCTCATTATCAATATTACGATTATAATTATCATTTATTAGCAATGATAAGTACATTTCCTTGTGCCTTCTGTCGTTAAAGCAATTTTTTTTAGAAAACATTTAAAACGAGTTTCGGGGTCACGGGGTCATTCAGCCATTTTAGACCACAGATAAAGTTGGCCAGCTTAACACTCTTAACTCCAGTATATAAGACCGACGGCTTCAGCATAATACTGTCAAAAAAATGCAAGTTACATAAATGACAGAGGCTGAGCCGTGTGTGTGTGTGTTTGTGTGCTGGCAGAACAAATATTGGCTTCTCATAGCCTGACTAAAATTATCTGTGCTGACGTCCTCTAATGTTTTGTCGGAGGAGCAGCAAGAATGCTGACGGTGTTCTCCTCCGTTCGTATCACTTTGAAAGTGTATTTACTTGTCCATCTTTTCAGAGTTATTGACTGAAAAGCTCTTGTTAATATTGCTTCATTCAGTTCTAGTGTCGGTATTTGTAAGTGTCGGTACCGTATAAATAACTTCATTTGAGAAATGAATGTAATATTCTTCCCGGCTTTTTTTTTCAGTTTAATTCATTTGAAAACTTATTTTAGTATCGCTGTTAAGGTTTAAGAAGAAAATATTATATTTTAAAGTACTCCTCTTTTGATATTAACTTACTATCTCTGTGTAAATTAAAAGTGACATTCTTGTATTATATAAGTCAGTAATGGTAACGGCTGCCAAGAGCTCGCCTCATTGAACCTCACTAAAAAGTCCAGGGCAACCCCAGTCAACCTAACTGGGAATAGGTAACTGACTTTAAGAGTTGATGAAGTGAAGGCAATTGACCTCATTGCCTTCAAAGGTAACGAAGAAGAGATTATTGCTGCAACTCTCCTTTCCTCTGTGGTTAATGGCTATTCTCTTAAATAGTTAACGCCTCTATGCAGTATCCAGGTACTTGTATATAGGTAAAATAGTTTTTTTTTTTTTAAATTGTATCGTAATATTTCAGATCATTAGTTTTGTTCTTACTTCACAAGGTATGGATATTCTATTTATATATTACGAGACCGATGGTGCCGCCTCAGTCAGTACAAACAAACCAATGAACCAAAACCAACAAAATAACAAGAAGACCATAATAGAATAATGAGACTCAGCTGGTACAGAAAGATAAGGTGACTACTGTTGTATACCTTGGGGTGACTACTGTATACCTTGGGGTGACTACTGTATACCTTGGGGTGACTACTGTATACCTTGGGGTGACTACTGTATACCTTGGGGTGACTACTGTATACCTTGGGGTGACTACTGTATACCTTGGGGTGACTACTGTATACCTTGGGGTGACCACTGTATACCTTGGGGTGTACTACTACTGTATACCTTGGGGTGACTACTGTATACCTTGGGGTGACTACTGTATACCTTGGGGTGACTACTGTATACCTTGGGGTGACTACTGTATACCTTGGGGTGACTACTGTAAGACCTCCAGCATGAAGGTTCACCCACCAGCATTTATCCCCCATAAAACATTATATTAAGAAAACCACGAAGAAAGGTAAAGGAAGAATGTACAAAAGAACAATATTAGGGGAATTAAGTTAAGGACACAACTTCAATTCACTGTAAAAAAAATATATATGTAAATGAAAAGAACAAAAGTATGTGATCCAAAGTATATATAAAAAAAATTCAATACGTTTCACTGATGTTACCTTTCCTCTGATTGGCTGATATTATTAACAGGTTGGTCATGTGGTGAGTTGACAACTTCACCCAGGATACTCTCTCTCTCTCTCTCTCTCTCTCTCTCTCCGTCCGTCCGTTCATCTATCAAAGGTAACAAGCATTTTATAGTTGCCACATCAGCAGTATTGAGTTACCGTCGTAACCAGTAGCCTTTCCTATGTAACTACCACGGGTATATAAGCAATGGTCAATATCTTTCCCTATGTAAATCAGATAGCCTATATGTATATTATCAATAACATGGACAATAAACAGCTGTGAAGCATAATTAAACAATCAAAGAAAGTCGGAATAGTACTTGAATACTGTATAACTTGTTTACAAAAATAACGAAATTAAAAGTAATCGTTCAGAAAAATCATTAGTTACAAGTAAATTACCGTAAACACTACGTAGTTACTGTTATCTATGACATATACTGTACTTACTTGCCCACCAATGGTCAGTAGACTTCGGACTCGTCTAAGATAAACTGATATCTTCTCATCCTTGAAGCCTGGCAACTGCATAGATTAATATCTAGAGTAATGTTGATGTTATAGTGTATTACTGTGCTTCAACAACTAAGGTCTTTAATCGTGTACACTCAATTAGTAATTACACAAACCTTCAACCAATAAAAATTAAGATATACAACTCTTTGGTTTCCTTATGTATCTTACTAGTAATTGTAACAGCGGTGCTCTCCCGTTGAACGACAGTAAGTCAGATATACAACAACCAACTTTATTCTCGTGGTAATGGTGTGTACATCTGTGACAAGTACATATAAAATACATAAATAGTCTCTAAACATTTCCACACTATTTGTTATGCATAGGAAAATAACAGGTGTGGCCTAGCAGAGATAGAATCATTAGTCACATATAATTCATGAAGAAGGAACATGCGGTCGACAAGATTACGAGTTAACAATAAAGCGGCACACTCTTGTAGGAGAGAGACGCAATACTGACATGTGTACTAAGAAAGCGCCTCAGTGGTAATATAATCACAATAATATTTCACGCCCTCATATTAAAGCTTGACGAAGCTGTGTTAACTCGTCATCTTGTCGACCGCATGTTCCTTCTTCATGAATTATATGTGACTAATGATTCTATCTCTGCCAGGCCACACCTGTTATTTTCCTATACGTAACAAATATTGTGGCAAGGTTTGGCGACAATTGTTTTTGTTTTTTGTGTACTCGTCACGGGTATCTACGCCATTACCACGAGAATAAAGTTGGTTGCTGTATAGGACATCTGACTTTTTGTCGTTAAACGGAAAAGATCCGTGTTACAAAGTAGAAAAAACAATTAATCAAAACTTCTTTGTATTCGTGAGAGCAAGACTCATTCCTTGCACTTAAAGGAAAAATGGCTCTTTCGTGTACTTTATGGAAACTGCCAGTCGTTACAGCATATCACTGACACAACATATGACGTACTGCAGCAACTGCAACAAACAATATTGTCTATTATGGAGTTGGTTTTGGGGGGTTTATATCCCTACTTCATCATAAGAAAAATTTCTAAGGTAATCTAAACTGACTTGGACCATTTCAACACTAGGATGCCAGTAACCAGTGCTGACACGAGATCATTATTATCACAGGTTAATCAGGTCCTAATTTGCACTTTAACTGGGGGGTTGTCAGGCACCCGTTTGGACTCTCTATATACGCTGATAAAAGTTGCTTATGCAGTAGTAAAAGCGATAGTAGTTTAAGATATACGAGGTATAGATTTGTACAGCAAAAAAACAAAAACAATAAGAATTCTCCGGTCTCCCAAGAGGTCCATTGAGGAACAACCCCCATGATTCCTGCCAAGGACATGTAAGGAGGGAAGAAGACAGAGATCCGGAGTTTTTAGAATTATTAGAGGAGTTGAAGGCCTATTTGTCCTAGACCATCAAGGTAGATGCAGTGGTTTGTGTGGCAGAGGAAACATAGCTGGACACCGAGACGATAGTGGGTCGGGTGCAACCATGGTACCGTGTGCAGACCATAAAGAGTTTTAGTGGTGGGGGCCAACGAGCGCAGAGGGCAGTACCCTGCAAGTTGTGACGGAAGTATTGGTATTTAGCTTAAAAGTGTGGAATGTTTATGGGACCAGTGGAAGCTGCTGAAAAAGAAGTAATGCGAAATATACAACTATATGACGGTAACTTAAAGAAGAGGTGGAATAATGGAGAGAGAGAAAAATATACGGATACAATGGACAAGAACCCAGGGCCAAAGCCAAAGCCGTCCCGAGAGGTGGCGAGTCGGGGAGACAGCAGAGGGTCTCGTGCTTCCAGGGGCCTCACGGTCTCCTGGTTAGTAATTATAGTTCAAATGTAACACAAACTGGTAAACAAAGGCTGTGCTGATTGGAAGCATCTTAGTGAAAGACTAAATTATCGTGAATCATCAAATGAGCACTCGTTCAACTTCACCAAATGGATGGAAATTAAAAGAAGGTTGTGTTCAATAAATACCATAGATACACGCATGTTACACGACTATGAATATAAAAAAAAGGAACGCTGGTGATCGGTTCTAACACTATTATAGCAGCTTTGTAGTACCTAGCTGAACACAACTCTGCTTTGGAAAAGTCATTGGGTGTTGGAAATTATTACGATATTGACGAAGCCGAGCTGTTTCCAGAGCTTCGAGTACACTACTCCGAAAAGTCATTCCCAAAGAAACAAAACATGCACTTCAAGTCTTTTGGTTACTAAAATCACTCAATGGTTCTTTCCCTAATACAGACATAGCGTATAATATAGGATTTTGTTGACAGTGCCAGACACAATGGCATCAGGGGAGCGAAGTTTTGCTAAACTCAGATTGATAAAAAGTTACTGTCTCTAAGGACAACTATGTCTCAAGAGAGGTTGAGTGGACTGGCTATGCTCTCCATCGAAAAGGAACTGGCAGCAAGTTTGTGCTCTTATGAACTGATAGAAGAGTTTGCTGGAAAGTAAGCAAGGAAAGTTAATTTTCCAAAGTAGCCTGTTTCTGCTATTTCACATTTTTTTATGAGATACAATAGTAGATTAAATTAATTGTTTAGTTATTAATTGTGTTGCCATGAAATTTTTCATTACATTCAGACTATTTCATGGCATTTGTCTTGTTTACGCTACAAAGACTATAAAACAATGTTATATTTTCCGTGTATGGGCATTTGATATTATCACCAGGTATTAAATTTCATGTTTTTCTTGTGTATTTCGGAATCTCATTTTAAGCATTGTCATAACGTCTAGAACAGTTATCACATACGGTCTAGGGTCGCAGATCGCAGGTATCTTTCATTTTCTTCCCATATTTTTGTTGCAACACTGTAAAATTACTACCTGTATCCATTACTTTAATTTAGTAATTATTAACATAAAACAGGATTTTTTTTTTTTAGACAGCATGCTATTGTTTTTGTCTGTATGAATGCATGTTATACTATATACCCCAAGAACCGGGCGGTAACCGACCCCCACAGACTCGAACGTTTTGTTTACTTACATTTCACCTCATGTTTAGCCTATTGCAACTGCACTATTCAGTCTTACTCAGGTATTCTACATCACTATAGGGGAGGAGAGGCAAACGCAATGTTGGAATGCACAATATATTGACAAGAAACACCAACATCCGGCAATAATCAAACATTAACAATCGCCACACTCCTACAACAACTACATGAATATAAAACAATACTCTAACAATCACCCTATCACTACCACATAGAAATATACATAAACATTACAAACTTACATTACATTCTAAGTACCGGGCTGTCAGATTTTCTATTAATGGGAGATACTGGGGTGAGAGGATTGGTGGACACGGGAGCGACAGCCACTATAACACCTCCTTCGGGACCCTGACTCCAGCTGATGTATGTTATATATGGGAGACTGTGTAGCGGTGGCTGTGGGGGCATACAGTAGTGGGTCGAGGAATTGTGACTGTGAAGTGTGTTTGATGGAACCCAGCTGTTGTTTACCGCTTGGGTGTGAACGTATTAGTGCAATTGAAGGATAATTGGGTAAGAGGGTTGTTACATGTGTTAAGAGTTGGGGATTTAGGAGTTAAAAGTCTACCCAGATTCCAACAGGCAACAACAATAAAAAACAAAGACAATCAACGGACTATAAAAGGGTAGACAAAGGATGCGAGTTTTGTTGTGTACTAATGAAGTACCTCAGAGATTCATACTTACAAGTATTCAGCTTTCTATAATTTACCATAGCCATGTAACTAAACATTAACAGTATATACATATTTATACAACATACAATAAATTAGGCAAAAGATTAGGTGGGGAGGCAACAAGATTACAAATGCTTAAGTGCGGAGCTAGTTGTGGCACAGCAAATGCAGGCGGAGTGTTAGAGACATTAGATGGTCAACTGTGCTGTAGGTTCCAGGATGGGTGATCCTCATGGTCGCTTCGAGTAGACCATCGCTCTCATCAATTTAGACTGACGAAAAGAAGACTTTGGGAGGTGACCCAACCAGGATGTGGAAGAGGCGAATTAATGTAAGACAGAGTCATACTCGTGTTTCGTCCCTAGATGGCGATGCTCGTGGTGCTGGGTAGGTAGATCAGGACAATAGATGGCGTGGTTCGTAGTGCTGGGTAGGTAGATCATGACAATTGGTGGCGGGGTTCGTAACACATGTAACTAAACAGCAGAAACAGGAGAGAGAATGTTGGCAGCAGGATGAACAAGATGATTTGAAAATAAGGGCAGCTTCAGTAAATCGGATGGTGGAGGTTTAGGCACTATAATGTGATCCAAACAGAAACCTGACCATAGAATTCCATGTTGGTGGGTGTAGGGAGGGGGGTGGGGTGACCGAGTCTGTTGCTTGACTGTCGCCCATTTTTTTTTTAACATTCAGGGCAGTAAGTCCGAAAAGGATTCCTGAACTTCGGGTTACTTTTAAGTAGCCCAACAAATAGATTTGATAAAGCTAATATTCAAGTTTGACGAAACCATTTGTCGAATAACTTAAAAATAACCCGATGTATGGGGATTCCTCCTCGAACTTACTGCCCTGAAGTTGATTTTTTTTAATATCGTGTGTGTGTGTGTGTGTGTGTGTGTGTGTGTGTGTGAAGGATGCCTATTTTTTCTTATACATTTTCTTATGTCATTCTAGACTTGGTTTGCTTTGGTTTTGTTTAGTTTGGTTTGAACTCGCATGCCCAGAATAAAATCCATGACCCTTCCGACACTTTCGTCCTAAATTGCCTAAGTCACGAAGGCAAGCATGAACACCGCATGCTCTCCTGTTGGGCGCTGTATACGCATTTGCGATTCGCCTTGCACAAAATGCAAGGGAGTGCCCAATAAACTAGCCCCCTCAAGGGACAAATCTGAATCTGAAATCTGGTAAAATACTAGTGCGTGACGGCGGGCTCTTTAAATCTGATTATTCCTGTCTCACTTATACTGTACTCCGATTTGAAAATGTCTTCACTATCAAATATTTAGATATAAATAAATATCAAAATAACGCTCCTTAGTACTAGTTATTCCATTTGTCTGTTACTCCACCTCTCCCTCTTCCCAGGTCAGGAAAACTTTGCATATCACTGTCGTCGAGTAAACAAAAGACAATCACCCCAAACACCCCTAAGGACTCAATAGTTCTTTAAGACCATTTTTTTAGAATTCCAAATGCTTAGAATATTTCTCCATTACTCGAAGAATATTCCCAGTTCCCCAGAGTCTTTTAAACTTTTAGTCTTGACCTGGTTATTTGTGCTTCACATAACACTGGTTTATGTTCTGAAAATTTAAGAACAATTACCTCGAGTAGTCGTTTTGTGGTATGGTTCCTTACGCCTACAGGGATGTCTAGTGTCCTAAATAACTTAATGAGACTACTTATTATAGAGTAAGTATATTGGTGATTAAAAATAGATGTGTATGTAAATAACATGAATTATGAATAAACATTGCAAGAGGATAGTGAGATGATGTTTACTGCGTCAAACTAAATTATAATGTTTTATATTTTATTTCTTAAACCTGTATCATAAAGTTGAGCGAAACACAACAGGGTGCAGTTAATATTTTTATTTGCCTCTCGGTACACTCGTCAACACACGTGATAGGGATGGCCAGCTATAGTCGCTCATGGTCAAGACATACAATATGGTGGAGGTCAGGGGTCGGTAATGTTGTGGTGGTCTGGATCATTTTAAGCTTCAGTCGCGGCCTTCTTCATCGCATTGATGGCTCTATTGATCATAACCTTCATGTTAGAGTTCATGGTCCTCTCTAGTTCCTGACGCAGGGACTTTCTAACACCCGCTATATGTACTTTGGCCATCTTGTTTCCGTCCAAGTTAGTCATTTTGTCGAGGGAATCATGGCCAGAACGCACAATGTAATTCTGGATGTTCTGTGGCACCAATTCCAACAGTCCAACCTCGAGGTCGGCGAAGAGCTTCTCCACGCACTCGGTTACCTCTCCATTGAAAGTCTGGGAGGGGGCCTCTTCCACGCCGGCAAATATGATGCAGTAATTAGCGGTGATACAGACGTTCTCCACCATCAGTGTTCCTTTCAGTTGAGTCTGAAACATACCCCATCTATCTACAATACATAACACAAAAATATTCGCCTCTCTCACCTGTAAAACACTCATTGCTTCACATTGCATTTGTTTGTTTTTTTACGAGGATTAGCCCACCCGGGTACAGGACTCTGACCCATAAGGGGCCTGGGGCGAAAATAAAATAATAATAATAATAATAATAATAATAATAATAATAATAATAATAATAATAATAATAATAATAATAATAATAATAATAATAATAATAATAATAATAATAATAATAATAATAATAATAATAATTAGCAAAAATAAATAAAAATTATAACAAAAGATAAAAATGAAATAATAATAATAATAATAATAATAATAATAATAATAATAATAATAATAATAATAATAATAATAATAATAATAATAATAGTAAATAAAAAAACTGAAAAAAATGTCAAGGGTGAGAAACGATATACAATATGTATGTTGTGTTGTCAATAGTAAGAGAAACAATTGAGACCCTGCAACTGTGTGTAAATGAGGCAGAAAGTCATATCAGCAACCTTGGACTTGGTCACAATTTTTGTGATGCCATATGGCAGCAGGGTCTACCATTAGACAACACATTATGCTTCCAATATCTTCTCAGGCGGAAGTACCTCCCTGTTTGATTAGCATTGTAAACAATGAAACACGTGATCAGACAAATGTCTGTAATTTCATCTTTGTAAATAAGTACTGCACAAGTAAATTAAAATACGTAAAAATTTAAACTTTCCATAATATATGAATAGGAATTATGTTGATCACATTACAGTCACAAAGAGCTGAATTCTACATATGTTTGTAGCTGCTGTACTAAACTCTTTGTTAATATTACAAATGTCGAAAACAAAATCTAATTTGTAAAGAAAAACACTAACTTAAAAATATTGAACAAATCATCACCTGGTCGTCGTTGAAGGAGGCCGACCTAGAACGTGTAAGGGATGCCAGGCCTCTGATTTTAGCTTTGGAGATTTCAAACTTTTCTAGGCTGTTTGAGTTATTGTTCACTTTAAAGGGAATCTCGGAGAAACCGGTCCTCGCCCTCTTAGACTCGCCCCAGCCCATTTTACTATTCAGAGTAAAAGATAAACAGTGTTACCTCTTGACAAATGAAGAGAGAGGGGGAGAGGAAGAGAGTGAGAGAGGGGGAGGAGAAGAGAGTGAGAGAGGGGGAGAGGAAGAGAGTGAGAGAGGGGGAGAGGAAGAGAGTGAAAGAGGAGGAGAGGAAGAGAGTGAGAGAGGGGGAGAGGAAAAGAGTGAGAGAGGGGGAGAGGAAGAGAGTGAGAGAGGGGGAGAGGAAGAGAGTGAGAGAGGACACGTTTTTATAATCAGCATTAACAAGAAGAGTGTTACCTCTCTACTCTTGATGGAATAGTGTAATTAGTAATTACTAACTTTGTTACGCACTTAAACACCTTAGTTGTTAAAGCGCAGCAGTAACATTATAACAACAAAAACAACAGAGTTTTAATAAAGTATGTGGTGAAGGACATTATTGGTTAGTGTGAGGCTCGTTTTTTCTTCTTTATTTTACTTGACAGATATTACTGAATACTACACAGCTTTAATGTTTTATCTTGTTATATATCATCATATATCCATAAGAGGTAACAGTGCTGACTCGTCTAGCTAAACACTGTGAGTTATATGAAGAGATCAGAGAATGAAACTAAATACCTGGTGACCCATAACGAAAGGTACAGTAACACTTTTATACAGCGAAAAAAATAAATATTTTATTTTATTTTACTTATCATTCTATCATTAATATTGATGTTGTGTAATTTCTATAGATGAATACGTTCAAAACAAGAATAAGGTCGGCCTTACATTATCTCTTTGACGGCACCCTCAGCGATGGCATCGAGGATCTGGTTGGGTGTTTTAGGGTTGGGAACAGCTCGGGGCTGCAGGACGTCAGAGGAGAACAACCCCACATCCTCCTCCAAGCTGTCGGGGCGACCCACACACACCGCCGCTAACACCACCACGCTCAACAATGTCCACATGGCTGGTATGGGTAAGAATTAACAAATTAATAGCTCCATGTAAAGTCAACAACAACAAAATTGTGCACCTTTACGGAGTTATATAATATGACACACTAGACCAAGAATTCTGAGCAACACTCATTTCCTAGGGTGATTCCTGTAATTTCTCACTTAAGTATACATGATGTACAGAAGACAGTACTGTACATCTACTGGTAACACAATGATCGCATAATCTGAAGTATTAACCTTACCAAATGAACATGGCTTCAGTCACTGGTGCAGGAAATTCTTTTGTTGACTGTACAGTCACCTACAAAAGTCCTGTCGCCTCTCCTCCTGAACCATGAACCTCCGTGATTCAGACTCGTGAATCCGAAGCATTTGTGGACAGAATAATGCATCAGTATCTACTGCTTCGGGTTCACGAGTCTGAATCTAAGGTTCGTGGAACACCAGGAGAGGTGATAGGAATTTTGTGGGTGACTGTAACCTATTTATCTGTGTGCATTTAGAAAATGTGGTGGGTAATAAAGACTTTTTAACTGTAACTTTATTAGTGATACAGCTAACGAGTGAAAAAGTTGTAACTTGGTATGAGGAAGTAAAGGACGATGAGGAGAGTACACCTCACCTGTAGCTGGCTATGAAGGTACTGGTAGTGGTGCTCGACAGCCACCACCTTATATACGACTCAATTACCTGTGTCAGCACTAACAACACCTGCCCCTCCTTCCTACCTACCCTGAGGTCGGGGGGGAACACATCACAGTTTCAACATTGAAACACTCATGCACTTTAGTTTTAGCTATAACAAACTGTACTTAGTAGCATGTTGGTATGATTTAGAAATACACTTAGAGATATGCATTAATGTTACCAGTAACCTAGATATTTACCTACTGTACACCTATCAGCCTGTATAGGATTTCCCATTGTCTTTCATAGTCTTGTCAAGGGCCATTGTAAAGCCCAGTATTATCTTCCTTCCATTGACACTGTTGTCCCCTCTGCGTGAAGAAACACTCCCTTATATCCTTTCTGCCTGACAACTTGACGAGTTTTTGTGTTTGTAGCGCTGGACAGCTTGAATATATTATTTACGTTTATGTATTCATTTCCTTTCAGGGTTTCAAATATATCTATGAGGTCCGCCATTTCGTGTCTCGTCTGAAGAGTTGTCAGTCCCATGACCCCCAACCTGCTTGGATAATCGAAAAGACTTGTTTCAGGAGAATTCCAGTCGCCCCTCGTTGCGGGTGTGGGTGTGGTATCCAGACTTGTGGGTGTGGTCTCCAGACTTGTGGGTGTGGTATCCAGACTTGTGGGTGTGGTCTCCAGACTTGTGGGTGTGGTATCCAGACTTGTGGGTGTGGTCTCCAGACTTGTGGGTGTGGTCTCCAGACTTATGGGTGTGGTCTACAGACTTGTGGGTGTGGCTCCAGACTTGTGGGTGTGGTCTCCAGACTCTTGTGGGTGTGTCTCCAGACTTGTGGGTGTGGTATCCAGACTTGTGGGTGTGGTCTCAGACTTGTGGGTGTGGTCTCCAGACTTGTGGGTGTGGTCTCTAGCTTGTGGGTGTGGTGACTTGTGGGTGTAGTCTTCCAGACTGGGTGTGGACTTGTGGGTGTGGTCTCTAGACTTGTGGGTGTGTCTTCAGGCTTGCAGGTGTGATCTCCAGGCTGGGTGTGGTCTCCAGGCTTGCGGGTGTGGTCTCCAGGCTTGCTGGTGTGGTCTCTAGACTTGTGGGTATGGTCTCCAGACTTGTGGGTATGGTCTCCAGACTTGTGGGTGTGGTCTCCAGACTTGTGGGTGTGGTCTACAAGGCTTGTGGGTGTGGTCTCCAGGCTTGTGGGTGTGATCTTCAAACTTGTGGGTGTGGTCTCCAGGCTTGTGGGTGTGGTCTCCAGGTTTGTGGGTGTGGTCTCCATGTTTGTGGGTGTGGTCTCCAGGTTTGTGGGTGTGGTCTCCAGGTTTGTGGGTGTGGTCTCCAGGCTTGTACACAACAGTACAGGTAGGGACGTATGTGACTTGTAGAGCTAATTAAGTTTTGCCCTCCTCACTGCTGCTTTCCCCCATTTACTGAACTGCTGTCATCTGATTGGTCTCTCAAGATACTCAGGTTTATTTCCGTTTCTACAAATGTTGGGAGAATATTTACTCACACAGTAGTCGTAATTCGTAATATTAAACTCCATATGAAGAGATTTACATGTGATTATATTAAAACACATTTGCCAGTCATGCAAACATTGAAAAACTTAATGTAATTCATCTTACGGGGATGTGATGTCTCCAAGACTAGCCGCCTTCCCGTAAATCTGTATATCATCAATAAATTAGGAGTGAAAAATATTTTAATACTAATAAATAAATAAAAGTTTTATATAAAGTAAAACAAAATATTCCAAAGATTTAGCCTTGTATCTCACTAAGGTATTTAATACTGTAGTTTATATTGAACACGACTCTCAGTGCCAGTAACAGGAAAATCATTTAGGTTGAAAAGATATCATATAATGGCTTCCTTTTCGCGTGCATTGAATACATTCAGCCATCCAAAGCACCACCATTTGTGCATACATGATCACCTACGTAAGAACCAGGTGATCAGCACAATCATTTCAACAAGTTTCCTGACCACGTAAAGGTGATATGCTGAGACGGTGTGTATATTGCCTAAAATAAATACTGTTTTATGTATTTATATATAGCCTACTGAAGAACTAGTACTGCTGACTTGTATTCATATTTCGTCCAAAGAGCTGAGTAGATCGCTGACACAAATTTACACGTTCCGACCCTAAGAAGGTCGTATTAATTTTCTTTAATGTTTTTTTTTCAGAAATATGAGTCAGGTGCAAAAGCTGGTGACGTCATGAGTAAGGCTGGCATATACAGGTATATAAGTGAGAGTCGTGTTGTTCGCAGCGTCCACAACCCGTCTACTTTCCTTGTTCCCCAGTGAGTACAGTGCCACCACCACCTCTCACTACACCAAGAACAGTATTACAACACATACTAAATAGTGAGTCTGGTGCCACAACATACATTTAACTTACAAATCTGTACTTATGTTTTTTTTTCATGCATTGGATACAACACGAATATATAAATATACCAAGTTTGATTTTACGGTAGCGTAAAGGACACAAGACATACCAATGGTATAACAAAATCTATATCCATCTAGTTTTCTTCTTTTTGTAAAGAAATTTGTATTGGAACTGATTTATTATGCAATTCATATGTTCATGAGAACTGCAACAGTTGGAGTGACCATAACATACAACGTTTTTTACCTTGGGCAGACGTTGACCAACATGATGCTGTGGCTGCTGTTGTCGTGTGTGCTGGGCCTCTCCATCACTGCTGCTCACGTGAGAACTCTTTACCTCACCACTCTGACTCCTTATAATCACCTGCTTTCTTTGTTGCACCTTTATATAGATGTTCGCTTGTATGTTGTTGTGAAATCTCCATCTTATATTTTATTCTGTCTCTGTCTCTCTGAAAATAATTTATGTTCCTTGAGTGCATCTTCCTCCCATTAAACAACTCACCCTGTTGTTTTGTTATCATGAAGGATGTTCATGTTTGTATTAGCTAACACACCTTAACCTTCATGTTTACATCTCGAGATACATTTGCCATAATTTTGCTACATTTGTATACCACAAGATACTGTATCACCATTTGTCATTATTAAGATAAAAATGAAATTTATTCACTATTCATATGTTTCGGCAAAGTATTTTTCAACTTTTTCATCCAACAGTGAAATATAAGTTTAACAGAAGGTTACACACACACACATCCTTCTTCTAAATCTTAAGTCATTAATTACAGTAAGTACTTCTTTTATCTCTGTAGTTTATGTATAGCATGAACTAGACACCAAGGATTATGTTTGCTGCATTACTGACCTTCTAGTATTTATTTCCAATAGGACTACAGGATGTGTTATAGCATAGGGCAGGGGGATACGTTATGCCTGCCGGTCATGATAAACATGGAAGCCCAGACCATCAAGTACAATGTGTCCGCCAACGATGTCTTTGAGGAAGTGTCGACACTTGAAGACTACAAACATGTGAGTCTCGAGATATGTAACCTTCATGAGTAAACGCTAAAGGAGGACGAGAAGTTTATACCATCCTCCTCAAGGGTTTAAACCATCGTCTCCAAAGATTTAATCCTTTGTCCTCAAAGATTTAAATCATCTTTAAAGGTTTAACCCAACATCCTCAAAGGCTTAAGCCTTAAACCCTAGTCCTCAAGGGTTTACTTCAATATCCTCAAAGGTTTCAACAACAAAATTACCCCCCCCCCGCCCCCGTCTCCTCTGGTCATCTGAGGAGGAACATGATATCTATTAAAGGCAAGAATTCCTTACTTGAAGACCCAGACACGTACCCTTTAAATTGATTAAAGTACGTACATGATGTGTTCCTGAAAACCTGTACCTTAACTGGATGTACTGTACGTTAAGTGGACCACTGGCTGTATATGTGAATATTAGTTGTAGTTGCTTTTTAATGAATAATTTAATTTGGACGTAAATCATCTCAAAGAAATTCGTGTTATGATTTGTGAACTTGGTTAGAACTATTTTTGTTACAGGGAATAGCTGTATCGCGAGTGGAAGCGGAGGAAAGGTGTTACGTGCGCCGCCTGGTTGTCAGTATGGAGGAAGCAGTGAGTTTCCTCAAAAGTCATGAAAACGAAACTCAGACGATAAACTCCACCATCGACACAGAGAGCATACCTATCAACGACCCCAATTATTTGATTGGAGAAACTCTTACAAATTTTTGCGGGGATTTCCCTGTATACATAATGAAGAAGAAACCCCAGAAAGGAGAAGAGGGCGAGGAGGAGGACGAAGAAAACGAGATGGAAGAGGAAGATAGGAAGCGGCAGGTGTCCGTAACCTTCACAAAATGCATTCTTTGTGTTATCTTTCTGAAGTGTTGGACAACGGTCATCACCGTCCCTACTGGTTCCACCATCATATTCCCTTGGTTCTTTGGTTAACAACTTGACACGTCACCTCCCCTGATCTACACCTGCCTTTGCCCTACGGCTCTGTGTTTCAAATGTCCTCTGTAGAGAAAGTGAAGCATGTGAGTTAATTTTTCTGAATATCCATAATAAGAATGATATTTATGTGCCTCGGTGACGCACACTCGCGTATTCTGTATTAAAGCACTGCATAAAATATAGTTGCATAAATTCCCTGACAATATTCAATTGCAAGCGCAATTTTGTAAACGACAATAACCTGCACTCAAACACAGCACTATACAGTATGTACTATCAGACAAACACACAACTGCAAACATGTCTAATACATAAGCACAAATTCAGTGAATTAATACATAAAAATACATTCAATGCATTAATGCACGTAAACACATCCAAATATTCACTTTTATACAGAAAATAGAAGTAAGTGATCTTGAATAATGAGAGAACTTATCATTATGAGGTATCTATCCGTGAAGATCCATAATGGCGGACAATAATAATAAGCAACACCAGATCATAAAGAAATTGAGGGAAATAATGTAACAAGAAATAGTAACTATTAGCCCTTATTGTATTTTATATCAGCAGTTACGTGGAGATTCTTCACGTAATCCAATAAAATCAGATTATCATCCTCATATCTAAGGGTTGGCCACCACAGTCCTCCATTCGTTCTCGGAGTGTTTTTACTAATCCTACAAGGTTCTGTATCTCTCTAGGGACCCATTTTTGTATTTCCTTCTTCCATCCCAGTCTCTGCCTTTCCCTGGCCCTCCTACCCTTAACTTTTCCCATTAATATTGCTTTTATATTTCCCTCGTCCCTCATTATATGACCAGAGTATCTAATTTTTTTTCTGTTTCTGTACATTATAAGTATTTCTCTTGAAGGTTTTGCTAATCTTAGCACCCATTAACCTCCCTAAATCAACTACGAACTCATCAACTCTTATGTAAAGACGGGCCTCTTACTTTATCCACTTCGCCACTGGCCCAACTAGAGCCAACCAGTAACGAACCGGATGAAAAGCGGGCAAGATTAAGACAAGTGACAAAGCAGCTTGAAATGTATTTATTTATCATTTCTACCACTTATCAACTTGTTTTGGGGTCACTTTACTTTATCCTCTTTGCCAATGATCAGCTTGTGAGTAGCTTGGTCAGCCAGTCAGGTCTTTGCAATGCATTGTTGGTAAGTACAGTACTGGGGAGGCACTGTGCCAGTGTTGGTCAAGTCTGGTCTTGAATGAGCTCACAGATGATATCACAACACTCTCTGGAACAGCAGTTCCCAAACACGGGGTCGCAACCCAAATTCGGAAGCAAGAGGCATCATAAAGGGTCGCCTGGAGGTCATAGGTCGGTGGAGTCACATAAAACTCATAGGGTGGCTGGGCTGCCAAAGAGCTCATGGGCTCGCTGGGCTCCCATAGAGCTCACGAGGTAGCTGGAGTCACCTGGGTGTTACAGCGGTAACATGTGATTTTTTTTTTTTTGTCTAGGTGTCAAGGACTAAAGGATATGGCCGACAGGTGCTGTCTCGTTAAGTCGGGACCAATAATATGGTCAAGGGATTAATGCAGTGTCAGGTCAGGTCAATCCAGGTCAAGCTTCCCCTGATGACACACTTCGCCGTCCCTGGAAGGGCTCCTGGGAACGCAACTGTCCTTGGGATGGCCCCTGGCAGGGCCACCGTCCCTGGGAGAGCGCCCCTGGCAGAGCCCCTGGTGGCGCCACCAACCTGAGATGCACCCTAGGAGTGCCGCTTTCCGTGGGTGTGCCCCTGGCAGCGCTACCGTCCCTGGGAGAGCGCCTGGGTGCATTAGCGCCCCTGGCAGGGCCCTTGGGGGCGCCGCCATCACTAGGAGAGTTCCAGGGTCTCTCCCAGGGACAGCAGCGCCCCCAGGGGCCCTGTCAGGGCGCTGGCACCCCCAGAGGCCCTGCCAGGGACAGCTGCAACCCCAGGGGTCCTCTAAGGGACAGTGGCACCCCCAGGGCCCATGCCAGGGGCGCTGGTGCCCCCAAGGGCTCTCCCAGACAGTGGTGTTCCCAGGGGCTCTCCCAGACGCAGCAGCGACCCCAAGGCCCTCTAAGGGACAGCAGCACCCCTAGGGGCCCTGCCAGGGTCGCTGGCGCCCTCAGGGGCTCTCCCAGGGACAGCAGCCCTCCCAGGGACGGCGGCACCCCCAGGTGGCCTTCCAGGGACGACGGCACCCCAAAGGGCCCTGCCAGGGGTGCTGGCGCCTTCAGGGGCTTTCCTAGGGACAGCAGCACTCCCAGGAGCCCTCCCAGGGATGGGTGCATCCCCGGGGGCTCTTCCAGAGACAGCAACGCTGCCTGGGGCCCTCTCATGGGTGTTGGTGCCCTTACGGGCTATGCCAGATACGGCAACACTCCAAGGAGCCCTCCCAGGGATGCCGGCACCCCCAGGGGTTCTCCTAAGGACAACGGCGCCCCCCAGGGGCCCTCTCAGAGACGGCAGCACCCTCAGGGGCCCTGCCAGTGACACTAGCGCCCCCAGGAGCTCTCCCAGGGACAGCGGCGTTCACAGGGGCCCTGCCATGGACGGCAGCACCACCATCAGCCCTCCTTGGGACGGCGGTGCCCCCAGGGTCCCTGTCAGGGGCGCTAGTGCATCCAGGGGATCGCCCAGGGACAGTGGCACTCTCAGGGGTCTTCCCAGGGATGGCAGTGCTCCCAGGGGCCGTGGCAGGGGCCCGCCCTTGGACCTCATATTCGGAATCAGCATGCTCAGGAGTACTTTTACCGAGATTTTCAACCAAATCTAATTTTTGGCTGAAAACGCCAAACAACCAAAACGCGTTGTGGTCACTTTTTGGTTTCTGAGCCCAACATATACACCAATACTGATCGTCGAGAAATTACCGGACACTAGCGGGACAGCTAGTGGTATTTCGATGACACTTGTGATATACAGTATCTACAACTTCTGTATATACGACCCGGCCACTGGTAACCATCGGTGGAAGTTGGTAAGCGGTGAAAGGGGTTCATAACAATACTGTACTTCAGAAATTTATCCACACAGCATTTCCCCCCCAAAAAATTCAGATTCCTGATACTTAAAGTGTATTTTCTCAATGTTTTGATTCATTGTCATTCTCAATTCTATGGAAGAATGAAGAGAACTTTTCAGTATTCGTCCTACAGTATTAATTCCTCTGAAACACTGTGTATGACCACTTTCCTGAAGAAAGCGATCATAACTTTGAATTTCTTTTCGAAAATTCAGGTTACTAGAAGCTTCAATTCATCAGACAAAAAAGGATAAAATTCATAAGATACGAGGAAGCTCGTCTTTTATTTTAAAATGATTAAAGCTGATACAGAGTAACATTTTGATGATGATAAAACAATGTGGTAATGGAACATGGGATGACTGCACTACAGTATCACTGAATGTGAAGTCTGTACACGGACTGGTGACGTCTAGGGCAGGATGGGAACTGGGGTAGGAGAAAGGACATGTGGAGAGAGTGAAGAAAAAGGATAAAAAAAAAAGGTACAGAGATTGAAGATATGGAAGAAAGGGGGGGGGGGGGTACTGAGGCCACGATGGCCTTCAGGTCTGCTATCTTCATATTGACCGTCTGTTGCCCCCAAACATAAAAACAAATGTACTGCTCCCCACACCTAGCTGACTTGCGCACACAACTTTCAATGTATTTACATCTGACCAATGTGGACAGTATCCTGTTTTCACAGATGCATTTCCCATGGCCTAAAAACATCCATTTGTATGTCATGTACTTTAACTCTCAAATGTGCTTCATAATTGTTTAAGTCTGCTTTTAGGTAGTCTTTTAATGGGTTGACATATAGCTGAAAACATTAAACTGATACAATTTTTTGTTATGCAATTCTTTAATGCTATGATGCAAATATTTTTGAGAGTGCTTACCTCAGGCAACCACTTCACCCTCTACATGTCACATGACAATTGTCATAACCATTTTATGGAGCATTACATTCATAATAATACAATATTAGAATTCTTGTAACTCTGGGGTTGCAAGAGACAAAACAACCTATGTGATTGTGTGCAAAGATACTTTCTGTTGCAAAACTTCCATTATCTAAATGAAACTAATGAAAAAAACTATAACTAAACACTGTAATATTGAAAAATACATTTCAATCATCACATGTGCATAGGAGATCACAGACAATATGCTGCCAAATCATCATATGGAATGTTGAAGGATGGTGTGTGGAAGTGTTAGGAGACAACCACACAGCTCTAACTTAACATAGGACACTTTACTATAAATGTGCATTGTTCATTTACTGCAACTGACCACTACAGCCATAACACCATGTGTCAATCATTAAAGGAGACTGTTTAGAAACACACTTCTGATCATGAAGGAGGACCCGACTTAATTTTTTCCACAGACATATTCCAAAATCTATGTTATTTTATTAAATGGGCTTTGATGTTGCTGCAGAGGTGTTCATTTTGAAGAACTGCTGAACAATCAATTATACCCAAATGTTAATACTGCTACACATAAAAATATGTTTTACAGAAAGAATACTATATTGTCATTATGGTATGCTATGTACAACACAGCGTTCTGTAGTTACCAAAATTTAGTCTGAAAAGGAAACCTCATTGCCTCTAATAATCTCTGCTGGGTAAATTTTCTGATTATCAAAAAAAGCTGACTAATTTCAGATTTTCAACTTTCTTACTCTAAAAGGATATAAATGATTGGAAATTAGTACTGTATGACAGGGAGCTATCTTGAGAGTACATAAATGTAATACAGTAGTAGGGATTAAGTCCTCATTTGTGTATGCAAGAAATATCATGCTAAGGTTTACTTTCCTACTGACAATATCCAATTTGAGATGACACTCCTGTTGTGGCCCTTAATTAATAATTGTAAAACAATGAACTTGACCATTAACTATGATGTACAAATTAGCCACTGAGGCTGAGGAAGGTGATGATAATACTGCAACAGTCAGGCCATTTGAATGCTGATGAGGTCCACATAGTTGAGCTAAGCAAGTTGACAAGATTAGCAGAGTTCACACAATTCTACAGAGGAGACCAAGGACAAACATCATAGGGTAGCTTGGTCATTGAGATTTTCTATACAAGTCCATTTGGTGACTAAATTTGTGGGAGCTGTGGTCTTAGTAATGCCTGAGGAAGCTTTATTGTTCAGGTAACAATGCTTTTTGGCAAGGCCTGGGTAAGCTGTTTGTAACATTTTAGTTGGCAGAATCTTGGTGAAGTGCACTCCATATAATAGCTCAGCTGGTATGGCCTAAAGGTGGTCTCATTGGAACATCTCAGCTTAATAAAAGCAGGAGGGGAAATGGCTCCATATTGACAAATCAATTGACAAAATTTACGGGAAAGAAGTGGGGGTAGGGTGGGGACTGGCTCCATTGGACAATTTTAGCTGGCAAGTCTAATAGAATATCCTCAGTGGGACAACACAGTTTGGTACAGGGGAACAGACCCTCTCCCAAAAACTTAAATGTTGCCAGCTGTTGAGAACAAAAAGGCACCCGAGTTGATGGGCGTCTTGGGCGATGCACACAGATACATCATATCATCAGTGTTCAGGTGTGTGCGTGTAAGTGTTGGCTCACTTGCTGAACGATGGATCTTTGGCAAGGAACGCACCAGTGATTCTATGTTGGCTAGGATCTGGAAATTTAAAAAATCATTTATAAATAATTAACACCCTCTTAAGTACAAATTGGAGCAGTGAGCAAAGTCAGGCTCCAAAGGTATAAGAATAATGTACAGATATGGAAAAAATAAATGAAGCTTAATCCTCACAATACAGAATATTTTTAAGTAAAAAAAAAAAGTAAAATCAAAGAACGAAGACATTTGTCCCAAGTTATCATACTGACACAGACCAAACATCTTTGTGATGGTAAAACAGAATACCCTGTAATGTTGAAATTTAAGCTTGCATAATGAAAAATTTTGACATATTTCCTTAAACTCCTTCACCCTTTGCCATAGATTAACTTTATTTCAACATAGGAATACAGTAAAGACCCTGAGTACCGGACTAATCAGACGAAATCATATTTGGCCGTCCATATCAGCAGGGAGGCACAAATGTTCAAAACAACTGCCAGCATATTACAGTAACACAGATTGGCATATTTAAGCTCATAATAAATTAGTCTGAGTAAAATAGTCATACTTATGATACACTCTCAGGAAATTCAGTTGTTACTTATTTAAAATGTTAATTTATGTGGGTAAGGTTCTAGATAGAACCTTTGAGAGCCACAAGACTTTTGAAGGTTCCCGAGTCCCAACATACGTGTGTATGTGGCATGGCCTTGTGCAGTGTGAGATAAAGTGGATGATGTGGATGTGTACAGTACACCATATATACTCGCATACAGTTCAAACTTTTACGATGAAATTTTTATGCAAAATGTAAGGGATCAAACAATATACCTACAGTATTTTTGAGAAGTAAAAATTCATTCATTTCTATGGGACATTTACAGTGAACAATAGCTGTACATGCTCGTGGCAAGCTCATTCATCCTAGCCTTGCTAACCATACCCCTAGATTCTTTCTCTAAGTCGTTGCATGAAGAGCAGAACCTCATTCACTATATATGCCACTTGAAATCTACATATACCTGATATAAATGAAAATTTACAGATAATATTCTTTTCATTTGCAACAATGTTGCTGACTTGTCATTGTAGCTACATCTCCCTACCAGGCAGAGCTGTGAAGTGTTATGGTTATTTTTCAACTCGTAATTTCGGGTAGATAAAGCAAGTCCCCGTTGAACGAAAGGGTTAGGTTCCACTAAAATGCTTTCGTTAGGTGGATTACATTCATCAATACCATTTTTCCCATATAAATAAACTTAATAAAGCGGGATGTGTTCTTGTACTAAGCTCTGTGATAGATTAATATACTGTACTGTACTAAGCTCTGTGACAAAATAATTGCAACACATCAAAATACTGTAGATAAAAACAATAAAACATGTAAAACATAAAGGTACATAAACAGAGTTGCTAATTGTTGTTTGTGGGAATATTAATTCATTCACACTAGTAATGATACAATGTTTCTTATTATGATCGCTGACCCTGTTACCACTTTCAAGTTAGACTACATACTATATATGTATTTCTCCCAGTGACCGCTAGTTGAGCGTCGTCTGCATTTGTAACTCTCCACGCTCCAAGCTATATTTCACAGGATTTACTGTTATCATTTGTGTTTATTGATAGAATAGACCCTAATAGTGTTTAATCATGGCAATGTAGCTAGGTTAGACTCATAACTGTAACAACCAGGCTACTAGGCCAAGCTGTGAGATGTTATGGTTGTTTTTCAATTCATATTTTTACTCAGTTACATGCACACGCCATCCTACATACATATTGTGAAAAAAGTAAAAGAAATAATTGTCCTACGAGCAAACACATAGAGAATATACAGTACATTTCTTTGCACACGAGTTAGCTGGCTCAGTGAGGGATGGGAGGAGGGTGCAGAGTGTAGTGGCGGGGCAGGTGAGGGGGGGAGGATGCATTGCTAGGGAGACGGGAGAGGTAGCTCCCAGATGGTCTCTGTTATTATGGTGAAGCACGGAGTGTATGCAAATGGCGACTGTGTCAAACTTTCATTTGGCTTTTATTTACTGGTTTGACACTACAATATTTTTTCTTGTACAATATTGTATCATGAATGACAGTCATAGTAGAATGAGTGAGAGGCAGAGTGGCGGTGAGATGCAGTGGGTGGGAGGGAGGGAGGTGGGAAGTGGTGGGAGGCAGTGGATATCATGCTGACCTGCTCTGGCTAAAGCAAATCCATCTTTACATCACTGAAATTATGATTTAGGTAGAGATAATAGAGGTAGTGGTGGTGATGGTGGTGATCATGGAGCTAGTGGTGGAGGGGGAGATTATGGTAGGTGGTGAGGAGATGATGTGTCAATCGATTTGTTTGGTAACACTGGCGGCAGCACTGCCAGACACAACTGAACAGCTGATGTCTACCCACAAAATTGAGTGCAAGCATAAATGAATAACATCGTATTCCTTTTACATTACATTACATAAATTTTAAATTATGGCGTGAGAATAACAAATAATCAATGTACAGTAATGTAAAATAGTGTACTCTCATGAATGACGATAATAGTAGATTGAGTCAATGAGATGCAGTGGGGGGGGGGGGAGGGAGGGAGGGAGGAAGGTGAAATTATGATTTAGGTGGTGATAATAGAGGTAGTGGTGGTGATGGTGGTGATCATGATGCAACTCACGTCACCAATGCAAACAGTGCTACCCAACCATTTGAAGCGATTCGCATGGGTCAGGTTGGCAGAGTGTGAAAAACAACTGAGAACTGGGGCAAGGGGTGAAGGGGGTACATATTAAGAGAATACAGTATTCACAAGTCAGAAGAAAAAACTTTGTAAGATATTTATGATTACTTTTTTTTAAAACAAACCTATACAATTGTCTTCCTACTATGGCAGCTACTGGGTTACCAGGATGCTAGTCCAACCAAGGGTTATTTTGCCAACAAGCTCATCCACTTTTATACTCATTTATTTCTGAGTGCATAAGTGCTTTTAAACATATTTTTATTTATGTAATACTCACAACCATTGTATCTAAACACCCCAGGGCCTGGAGATGACCTTATAAAAGGATGGTCATCTGTTATGGTTAAGAAATAAAATTAACTTATACCAAAATTTTACCAAAGGAATATTGCTTAATGTCTCAGTAACATGTACTTACTTCAAAGGATGCTTCAGTACCTCTTCATACATTATTTATAAGAGCTAATGTATGATCAGTCAGATGGAGTAAGGGTAAGGGGTTAGGGTAGAGGAAAAAGTAGATGCTAGTTTTGTCTTATTAACCCTTTAAGACCAGGGATGGGTTGCATCATGTATCCCCCGAGCTGGGGGAAAAATATTACCGGTATGTAAAAAGACAGACACATGATATACGCCCTCAGTTGTATGTCAGGAGCTAAAGGATGAAGCATTTTATGTACACTCAAAATCAATGTTTCTGTATGAGCTCCCACATACACAGAGATGCATCGGTCGAGTTTTCAGGGTTACTTGAGGTACCATACTTATGGGATGAAACCGACAACAACAAAAAATAACCTTGTTGAAGGGTATGCATATTGGTAAACAATAACACACACTCTTAAACACAGCTTACCTGTGGGAATAATGGTCTATCATCTCGACTGTATTTGATGCAGTCGTCAAAAAGACGACGTATTGGCTTGGGCATATCTGACCGAAGGTATGTCATGTCTGGCCGCAAATATCCTCGGCCCACCATGAACAGTATCTGTGACAATGAAAATGATGAATCGATATACAGTATATTACAAGTTAATCAATCAACATACTATACTGTACTACACAATGTACACAAGTTAAACTCACATGATGAATGACTGTAAGTTACAGTACAAGTTGATAGAGTACAGTAGTAGAATGAGTACAGAGAGGTTCACTGAGATTGTATGGACATATGAGAAGGATGCAGGAGGAGAGGATGGTGAAGGTGTGAAGAAATAATAGAACAGGGGCACTATGAGCTCACCCACATGGTGTGAGGAAAAGATGGAATGGAACAAGACAATAAGGGGATACAGGGAAGAGAGAGAACAGAGGAGGCATGTAATGACAAGACAGCCTGCCATAGACACCTCCTCCAGGGAAGTTCCCTAGCAGAGTAGGACATTGTAGATAAAATAAGATACAAATATTTTCAATAAAAATCTCAGTAAATTGTGAATTATATCAATTTTGATGTTATCTACACTCCTAATTTGCATACATCCATGTTAGCAAATATATACAGGGTGTCCCAAAAGTACATACTCTTGTATGAAAGACCTGAAGAATACACTTCAGAATGAGTAGCATTACAATCAATGCAGAGAGACTGAAAAATATTCAGAATTGATATATGTGTGTGCAAGTTCATGGCATGAAAGTTAAGCATTTGCTGAAAAAATTTTTTGGTGAATTCCCCCTATGAGTACTATACAAACTTTTGGACACCCTGTACTTGAATGAGTGGTAGCAGAGAGCTCACCTGGTCCTTATTATTTATATTTGAGTAAGGGAGGCAGCCGGAGAACAGCTCATATATGACGATTCCAAAAGCATATACATCACTCTGAGAGGTATACGGGTTCTCATCCTGCATTCTTATCACCTCAGGAGCCATCCAAAGGATTGATCCTGATGGCTGCTGGATTTGTCGTCCACCCTGACATTCTTGGGTCCATCGGCCTCCCTACAAGAAAGAGAAGATGGCAATAAAAACCTGCCAAAAAATTTTAACAGAAAATTGCATCTTCGAAAACAAAAAATCAAAGATAAAAATAGTATGTAAAATGTGGAATTTCCTTAAATTACACAGTTTTTTAAATAGTTTTACTTGTTTAATGGTCACATACTGCATTAATATTCATGCATAATTTTAACAATTCTTTCTGATCAGACAAAACAAGGCAAAGCCATAATTTTTTAATTATATATACTGTACACGAAAGTCTCCGATAACGATGGTTCTTCTAACGACGATTCATATTTAAGACCCTGGTTAATTTAGGACCCAATTGAATTTACACCATTATTTTCTTCATATTTACGACGAAAATAGAATAAAAAATTCAGTAAAATTACATTTTCCCGATGTATTATATAAAAAAAAAACACGCCTTGCACACGGAGGCTGCCGGGCTTGTGAGTGATGCCAGCATCACTAGTATAAACAGTCGCAACTTGGCAGGCCTTTTGTTTTCACGCATCTGAACAGGAAAAGAAGAAAAACCTTCTCAGATTTCTTACAGCATTTCTGCATCCCTATTCAACATGAGCAAGAGAGCATGAATCACTCAAAAGTAATAAATAATGTTGTTAGGAAGGTATCTTGACATCAAATACTATACAGTGTGTATAGTGACCCAGTTGTAAGCTGATTTGCTGAAATCCGGCACACTAATGCATCCTGAGTGAATACCTTCAAATACAGCCTTTTTTTTAAAGTAAAATTACAACCTACATATTGTATTTTTTCTTTATTAGTCAAGATGTTTTATTAATCATGATGAACCATACACCATAAGAGGCTGATCATAAGAGAATATAATACTGAATCAATAAATATAAACCTAACGGATGTGGCAATCCCTGAACAGCACCACCCCCTCCACAGCCTGCTTACAGCAAACCTAATTAGACCGCTGTACAGTAGTCAGTGAACAAATGTTTGTTCTTTTCGTATGTTTTTTCTTTTTAAGTTAATCCATTTCTTAAAAGTTGTTTCCATATTTTTAACCCATTTCTTGAAACCCTCTAGTATCCCTGTTAAATATACTACATAATCTACAAAATATTTCATGTAATTGAGTGTAGGTAACAAGATGTGGCACACTGATACTACTGTATTCATATGAAGGCAGGACTCAGACTCAGAAAGTCCGAGACAGTGAGACACGTTTTTTTCTGGAGAATAGAGGAGCGGTTCAGAGCACACCCAGAGAGTTCGAGAAAAGCGAATTCCGATACATTGCAGTCCGATTTATTGAGGATGTACTGCACATTATGTTTATAGTGCAGAACTGGTATATAAAAGGCAAAAATTAAAATCCACATGTAGCTAAATACTATTAGTTGAATTAAATACCTACAAGACATATATGACAGACTTACCTTGACTGTTGCAAGACCAAAGTCTCCTATCTTGACTGTGTAATCATCATGTAGGAATATGTTATTTGACTTCAAATCTCTGTGAATTATATTCTTTGCATGTAGGTAGCTGAAAATATATAAAAACATTACATATCCTTACATATATCAATTTACTTTAAAATTCAATTAAAAATTTTCTCTCATCTTATCTCACAGCTTAAAATAATGAGAACCAAATTAGGATTAGTCACCTGAAGATTAACCACACCAGCTTATTTCCCGATATAATGGTTGCCCCTCATATTCGAGGATGGCGGGCCCTAGAGCCATCTCGATATGAATTTGCTTAAGGTATAAAAGCTGTTGCCAACACAACCACAACCTAAGTTAACGAGTTGCATGACCCAGTATCAAGGAATAGTCTGAGAAGACAAGACAACTCGCGAATTACACTGGTTAATTATTACTCAAGGACACGATCCGCAAACCAATTAATATCCAGGTTCCCAATTACTGCTGGGTAGACAGAGGCGTAAGGAAACTTGCCCATAATTAAACTCTGCCCGGGAATCGAACTCGCTTGTGATGCATGCATGCTTACCATTACACCACAAGTCGCCTTGATGGTTAAACATCCCAATGATACCTAGGGGGTTAACTTAGGTTAAATTAGGTTCATGCTAAGGTAACTAAACTAAGGTGTCTAATTACCAGGTGATCCCTAAAATTCATGAAAAATAATACTAATAAAAAAATTATATAAAAATGCAAATAAGCATATACTTATTTCAGTAAATACAGTAAATGCTCATGCTTTTGGACTAATTAGGGTAATATGATAGACCAAAAATTTATATATTACAAAACAGGAAAAGGATTCACTCAAATATACATTTTCTCACTTACACAAGGCTACTCATTTAGACATGCACAAGTAACCAGCCAATCCCATGTTCCCAACAGTATCTATGACAAGAAAATGATACATCATAAATGAAAAACCCAAACAATGACCTATCTTTTGTAGTGGAAATTATGAAGAAAATGAGGCAGAGGTTTACTCCATCATACTAGTCTACACCTGTTATTTTTAGCTTAGTTTAAGATGCTTCTTGCTAGATCCATGTACAAGACAACCATTGGAAGCCTTGTCAAAGCACTACAAAAAGTCACAAAAATCATATTTGATAAGTGGGTGGGGGAACTGTGACCGACATGATATACTGTACACGTCATGTACAGAAGAAACAAGCTCATGATAAGATGGTTCCTGCTAAACCCAGACACACAAACAATGCTGGACACCTTTGTTAAGATCTCTGAAGGTGTCCCAAAAATTAAAGAGCAACCTATATAAACCATGGGTAGGCAGTGAAGATGTAAAGACAACAGGTGGCTAGATAGTACAAGCTCACACTAAAATTGGTACAGGGCAACACAAGTGAAGGGTGACACAGATGTAGGTGATATAAGTGAAGGAAGACACAGATGTAGGTGATATAAGTGTAGGGGAAACCGGTGAAGTGTCACACATGTAGGTGAAAGGTGTGCTGACACAGGTGAAGGGTGTCATAGCTGTAGGCGACACAGATGACGGGCGACACAGATGTAGATGATATAAGTGAAGGGTGACACAGATGTAGATGATAAAAGTGAAGGGTGACACAGATGTAGATGATATAAGTGAAGGGTGACACAGATGTAGATGACATAAGTGAAGGGTGACACAGATGTAGATGACATAAGTGAAGGGTGACACAGATGTAGGTGACATAAGTGAAGGGTGACAGATGTAGATGATATAAGTGAAGGGTGACACAGATGTAGATGATATAAGTGAAGGGTGACACAGATGTAGGTGCTACAGATGAAGGGTGACACATACTTCCATACAAAATGTCAAGAGACTTTTTTACAAAAATTTTAATACAGCATCGTCTTGACCTAATTGCCATAAAGTGTCCAAAATAAGATAAATTTTAAGACAGTCACTCTTTAGTTCCATGAGTTTACTGTATTTATTTCTATATCATAAGACATAACCACCAATAAATATTAAAAGAAAACTTTACACTTCACATTCAGCATTTAAAGCAGTCTTAATCAACAGGAAGTATACAATTAACACTTCATATACAGTATTTATTTTTCCTTACCACTGCTAATGCAAACTAAGTGATAAGCCTGGACCAATACTTACTCCATGCCTTGTGATGTCTGTCGGGCAATATCTATAATTCTCATAAGCTCGAATTTAGTCTCCTGAACATGGAGGTGTTTATAGAGGCTGGACCCTTCACACCACTGCGTAACAATTGCCAACTGTTGAGTCTTAACACATCCCATAAACAGCAGAATATTTACATGTCTGAAAAAAGGGCAAAATATTTAACTGACCCCTAACAACAAGATAAACAAATTAAATTCATGTATCAAAGAATTAAATTAAATCCACACTATCAGACACAAAATTCACTACTTTTTAACCATGAGATTTAAAGCAGCTTAATATATTTTGCTTAAAAATAACTTGTTGCTTATTTTAAATTTTCATCATCATGATGAGCAGATATATAAATACTTGTCTGGATGTAGCTAGGCACACAATGCTCATGTTGAATGTTGTGTGACAACAGACCATATCAAATGTAAACAAAACAGACTACAGTTTTACCCCGCTTAACGCGCTTTCACTTAACGCGTTTTCGCATATACGCGGTGCCTTGCCAAAGCTGAACTTTCACTTAACGCGGCATTTTTCATCATATACGCGGTGAGTGTCCGGGATGCTATTTTTAGATTTGCCCCACCCGCCACCCTGCCTGACTGCCTGTTTTAGCTCATAAAATTCATACAAATTACCCGGCCAGAATATAATTTACATTGCTGGAATTCTTATAATTTGGTGATCATTTTGAATATAAACAACATATATTTTGCATTAAACATACAATTTTTAGATAAAAATTTTCTCTAGGTAACTATGTTATCTTTTGTCCAAAATATATGACATTTATATTCAAAATATTCCTGGTCTTACAAGGAATCCAGCAATGTCAATTGTATTATCCTAACTTTAGTTTGAGGTATTATTGATTAAAATTTAGTGGTTTTCCCCCAAGCAGTGTAGTGTGAGAGGGGGAGGGAGTTGAGTCCATTATTTGAATGGACATTAACTTGGCGACTGTATTTCTCTATTTCTCTTAAGTATTAATTGTGTGCATGTACCATCATAAAATTAAGATGTTATTTTTACTACAACATAGGTATGTGCCTTCAAAAAGTGGAGTTTGGGGGTCGGGCCGGTTTCTATTGGAATTAATCCCATATGTTCTGTTGTTCACTTAACACGGGACCCTCTGGGTTCAATTGACCGCGTTAAGTGGGGTACAACTGTACTCCATTGTTTTGTTCTCATCTTATCCGAAGACAGTCCTACTTACCTTGTTTTCTTTAGGACTGATACTTCATTCTTGAAGGCAGAATACTGTGCTGGTGTCGGGTCACGAACATTCAAAGTTTTCACAGCAACAGGACCATGCCAGTGGCCACGATAAACTGTTCCAAAGGACCCAGACCCTATGCGAGGGCCAATCAATATTTCATCTACTGGAATTTCCCAATCCTCTACTGTATCTTTGGATGACTGTCTGACCTGAAATACAGTGGTCAAACCATTGAAATTTTTAAAAAATAAAGAAGAAATACACTTTCCTTAGGATTTACCTTAAAAATTATATCTAGGTAAAACTGCCAATAATTCTGTATCAGAAGTATACAGTACTGTATCCAAATTTTTATATGAATTTCAGAAACTTTCTAATGAGACTTCCAGTGTGTTTATCAAGGTTGTCTCTAAACATCCCACACTCTTCTTCTCTAAGTTCACCATCTTTCTACCTTTCTCACATGCTTATTTTCACCTTCATATATTTCACCATTCATTTTTTCAAAATGCTCACTAAATCTCTAAACTTCTATAAAAAAGAATTCCCTTAACAACCCCAAATCTCATGTAACTGCATCGGTACTCCCCAAATCTGCCTTCTAACTTTAAAGAGTAATTAAATAAATAAAATTTGGTCAGAACTTAAAAGCTATGTAGGTTGTCAAGCACTGAGAAAACTGTACTACTACTTTACTTGATGAGTTAGATAACAATTTAAGCAAATATATCCAAATCAACTTCACAGCAGTCTATACAGTACTCGAACTTCAACATTACACAAACCCATAGTAACACCTATCAATAATAACCATTTGTAAAGCCTACTGATACCAAACATCATTTTCACTTAATGCCATCTTGTCCACATTCCATCCATTCTTAACCCTCTCATGGTCTTGCGTCGCCATGCACTCCTGTGCTGGTGCAACCCTCCTGCTCAGCCATATCTCACACAAAGAGCACCCCTCCTATAAGCAGAAACAGTGAACTGGCCCTATCAACCATCTAACTTCCTCCCACTAGCCTCATGGGCTGGCAGATGCATCTCTAAGGGTGCAATTTGGATCTGCATCACTCTACCCAATGCTCATTAAAATGGAAAAAACCATTCCTGTTACCAACGCAACCTGCCTCAAAAGACAGGAGGGGGGTGAGATTTCCAACCATGGCCAGGAGAACCAGAGGGTTAATAACAACACTTGGTCTACCATACTTCTCCTTATTCACTTATTCTTATTCTTCTCCAACATTTTTGTTTTGTTTTTTCAATACAACACATAAGATCACCTCCCTTAGGTCCAGTTCACCATCACTACTCAATGTATTGTACATAAGCTTATGTTTCCTTTCAGCCATACCATTCCCAATTCTGGAAGCTATTAATTATTTCCCCTTTTATTTTTATTTCTCACTGACAAAGTTCTTCAATTTCTCTAAAATAAACAAGCTAGTAAATATATTTCAAATATACCTCAAAATAAAAATACAGTAAACCCATCAAATATAATTAGCTCCTTCAAAGAATTATTCAATTAAGCTTCAATTCATCAGTTTCAACAATTACTGCAAAAGAGATTAATATTCTGTATAATTACCTACTACAGTACCAAAAGGTAACATTGCTAACCGACTTGGAATAAAATCAATAATGTCTTACCTTCTTGCCTGAAACAGACTCGTCAGCTGATCTAGCTCTGGGCCGCACAGCCCTGAGAGTGTTAGTGGGGGAGGCCTGTGCCGAATGTGAGCCCTGGACCGGTCGAGTGGGACTGCTGGTGGGGCTGGTGGGTGGGGGCGGTGCCAGTACCCCCCCTGGTGTATACCCTGGGGAGGGCATTGCTATATGGGTCATGTGAGTAGGGGGGCTCCAAGCTCCCCTTCCACCATCATGCAGATAGAAGGTTGGTGACCCAAAGAAGTGGACCCCTGCACAGAGCAGATCAACATGGCCGTGTGGACGTGCAGCACAGGCGTACACAGCAGCAACACGTGGTAGGGGAGACATGCACATGCAAATTAGCGACATTCAAACATTTAGGCATTTTCCCCCATAAAACAGCAGAGTATAAGCTAAAAAAAAATTGCAGGGCTCAATTTTGTATAATAAATTTGTGACTTATACTCCCAAACAATGAATCTTCTTCCTATTGCTTCTTCATCATCTATCAAGTCCACTGAATCTTTGTTTACAGTACAGTATAATATTTAAATAAACCTAGAACCTTCAATGCACCACAGCAGGCAACATGGAGGTGCAAACAGCTACAAATGACCTGTAGAAAGCTGTGCTTACAATGACAGAAACAGCACTAGTGTCTCAGCAGTGCACTATTTGCAATCTTTCAATCAACTGAGGACTAAGTAAACATTCAGCTATGATTTAAAATAAAAAATAATCAAAATGATTTAAGCAACAACAGAATACTCAATAGTTTTCATTGTAGCAATAACTTTTGTACATCAGTATTGGGAACACCTAACATCACATTCCAAACTTTATATATATATATATATATATATATATATATATATATATATATATATATATATATATATATATATATATATATATATATATATATATATATATATATATATATATATATATATATATATATATATATATATATATATATATATATATATATATATATATATATATATACTGTACATATGTACATATATACATATATACATATATACACATACATACATACATACATACATACAGTGGGGTATGCTATAACGAACGGATTCTACTACGAATATTCCTATAACGAACATTATTATTTATTTATTTTTTTTTTACTAATTTATTGGTTTTTTTATTACAAGTATTAATGATATTCTTTATTTCAGGGGTTTAGATGCATATTTATGCACTTTTTTACAATTTTATATTATATTTTTCAGTGTTAAGTGGTTGTATTTGGGGGCCTGGAACGGATTAATCCTATAACGAACGAATGCTATAACAAACACGGTTCTAGAACCAATTAGATTCGTTATAGCATACCCCACTGCTATATATAATGTGAACAGATTTTGCATAAAAGTTACTTTCAATGTGACAACTAAGTATCAGAGACTACCTGGTTTATTAATATTCTTCTTGTAGTTTTTAATAATTTATACCCGTTATAAGAGGAGGAATATGGCCATAACCACTAAATTATCAAGGATAAAAACTAACCACGATTCAATTCAGTAAGATGGACACTAAAAGTACAAACACTGGTGGTATAAGTTAGTTGTCCTGCAAGTCATACTTGACCCTAAGGACAAACTCAGCATTAATGTTACTGGATATTTAAGTTGTTTATCATAAAATGAACATGAATATAAATATTTTTTTTTTTCCAACAATAATGATAATTTCTGATATACTGCATGCCGACACATTGAGAATAATTTGGATCATTATAAGACCATCTGGATCATTATGCTGCACTAGCCATTTTCCAGTCAAGTACAGCACTGTTCTACAATAACTTTGACATTGGATTGACTAGTTATTGAAGTTTTGGAAGGTGCTTCAGTAACTAAGGCTGTATCACCCTTAGACTTTGATACTAGTTCTGATGATCCCATATAAACTGGAATCTTCCTTACCCCAAGAATGATTCATCCCTTATGTCTGGTAGATGTTTGTGTGATACTGAATTTCAATCAACTTATAAGCACAAACATCACCCCAAAAAATTCCAACAATGATAATGCAGTTTGGACCTCAAAATCAACAGTACAGTACTGTACAGTAAACCCTTGCTATTTGTTGGTTTGTGATTCGTGATTTTGACTATTGGCGGCAAGCAGATGGTGTGGTGACTAGCTTAGGAGTCTCTCCCACAGAGCAATGAGTCACTCCCATGTGCCTGCAGCATCTCCTCTCCCTTCGTTTGCAATCAACCATTGCCTGCGACACAATGTCTCTTGTGTTGTACTCAAAAGTTTAGTGTTTCTGTGTGAAATCACTAAAATGGCCCCTCAAAGACTGCCCAGTGTCAGTGCTAGTGATGTTAGTGGAGTGAAACTTTTAGAGACCTCAAAGGCAAGAGGAAACAACTACCAATCACGATGTTTTTCAAGAAAGAACCAGCCACTCGCCCAGCTGATTCGTCTCCCTCACCAACTCGGTCAGCTGCTGCCATCGCTCCACCACTCATCTCCCCGCCATGCGCCACCCCAGCATCTGCCTCCCCACCACGTGCCTCTCCACCAACCCTCACTACATCACCCTCTCCCAACAGTGATCCTGATGATCTCCCTATGCTTCAATAACCAGATTTCATCCTACAGTACAGTACACTTCATCAAGCTCCAAACTTCAACATAGAAAGGAGAGTAGTATTGGTGACAAGCTTCTGATACACAGTAGTGCATTAAGGTAGTATAAGTTGCTATTCACGGTTTTGCCAATTCGCGCCATTCCTTGGAATCTAACCACTGTGAATAGCAAGGGTTTACTGTACTGTATTATTCTTTATCCCAGAAGACAGTCCTCATATCCAGTACAATCGGCCTAGGAAACAATGTCACTGTTTTTATTTTGATTCGTTCAAATAGGGGTATCTGGCAACTTGACGGGAGCCAAATATCTCACCACCTAACTTCTTTCTGTCATCCCCTCATACTTTTTGCAGGTAAAAGGCTTCAAAATGCTCCGATATGTCAACAAGTTTCCCCATGTTACGGGCGCGTGGGTGAGTAACATAGGCCCTAGGCTCATGCACTTAGTTCATATTCTGCTATCCTTGTACAAGGTTGTTTCATCCCTCACTGCTGTTTTTGTTTATAATTTGTGTTGTGCATTACTGTACTGGACCAGGAAATAATCAGCCATGAATAAAGTGCTAAAGCAATGTTAAGACATAAATAGTGATTACAGTGTACATTACATTCAGTAAGTGTGCATTACAAGCTCAAGATGACAGCATCTGCTGGTGAGTACAGTTCAGTAGTTTACTGTACATTATTTTGTTTATTTGCAATACACTGTACAAATATATTGTACTGCTTTAACGCTATTCTTAGCTGTTTGTGTCCTGGTACAATAATGTACAATACAAATTGTATACAAAAATTAAGCATGCGAGTTACGCAAGCAGCTAGCACACCAACGCACCCAGCACATAGAGACAGGTCTAACTATGATGCAATCTCTCGGAACTCCTGGAAAAATTTTTCCCACATGTCCAGAACGGATAATTTTTTTCTTTTTAATTTCCTGAAAATGCACCTGATTTTCATCGTCGGAAACTCACTCTAATGCCTGGAATGGAGAGTTTTCCCGGAAATTTTCCAGCTCAAAATCAATTCCACTTGTTCAAGAGTTTTCATAGGGACTGGGTATTCCAGCTAATGGGGAGATTATTTTATTATTTGTTTAAAAAAAAATACAATACCTTCAGAGAATAAATGGAAATTAACTTTCATATTAGTACTAGGGGAAATACAGAAACACTAAACATTTATTTGAGCCTATAGTGTATCGAAAGCTGAAAGCTTTGTTTTATGAATGTTTTCCCGCCTTACGTCATATTCAGTAAAGACTTGGCATAAGTATAGTGAGTATGTCTGTTATTTTAATTCATATTTTTATTTGATACCCATTTCACCTAAATACTATTAACGTCTGATTCTATCTCCTCAAATTATTCCTGAATGCCCGAGCGATAATTTCATACGTCATATTATTTTGTTTAAGTTTTTTTTTTAGTATTTCACAAAATTCCAATACAACTCGAAAAAGTAAAATTTAAAATAAACGAGTCTTGCAATTGCCAGATACCACTTTCTGAGTGAAAGTTTCTGAAAATTGTGACATCATTAATTTGGGTGAATGTACACTACATTTAACTCAAGCTATACCGCAGAAGCAGTTTTCAAGTCAAGATTTAGACCTTTTTATGCTACCATCAACTAGGTTCATTCTTACCCTTAATCCCTTATGTTTTAGTACATGTGAATGATAACCTTCATCCTAGACCTGTTGACCCCATTACAGTTTCAATAAAACTCATCCACTTTATTTGGGGAACATTTGCATCAAATGCGAATTAAATTTTTCTATGTGTTCTTCAGATATGCTCTGAAAACTAACACCATCCCACCCATATTGGGAAATAAGTGCTGAAGATATTGAGAAAATGTGAAAGAAGTTCCCAAAGGCCTGTTGACTTATTAGGAGCAGTGTGGATACAGCACACTAAATACTAAGGTTTCAATACATTAGGAGGCAGTGTGATCCGCACAGCACTCAACCAGCTTTGACTTCCTTAACTGTAAAGCTATATACTCATTCACAGCTGGGTGGATTGGGGGTGCCCCAAACAAGAAACAACTAAAAAGAAACAGGAATAGAATGCTGTTTTTATGCATCCATCTGCACCCCATGAAGATAAATAAGTACAGGTACAGTATTGTACAGTAAATCAAAGAAATAAAAATGTTTAGTTAAATACACCAGAATACATTTTCTGAAAGTAAGAAAGTATTATCTGGTTAGAATAAGTTACCAATCTTGGTACAAGAGTTTGGTTGAGAAAGATGAAACTAAGGGCAAAATGAAACATACTTCCTGAAAATGAGGCAGGAAAAGTAATATTTCATTAAGCAATGAAAAGAGATGGTGGGTACAGTCCTCAAGGCAGAACAACTGCCAAGAATATGGAGGAGAGAAAAATATCTGAGAAATATGGAAGAAATGACATAGTCAGATATAGACACTTGAAAGACTGATGTCAAGTTGAAAAGGTGGGTTGACTAAGGGCACCCTTGACAATGAACCAGCAGGATAGGATGCAAGGCTGTGTCCTTCAGCTGCCACTCCAAGAAAGAATGATAAAATTCAATATAATAACTAAGGAATGATATTAATTAGGAGATTTGCAACAGAATATTTGCATTAACATATTAATTAACTT